TATTATGGAAGATCATACTGTTCAGGTGGATGGTGTTAAAAAACAATTAAAATAAAATGTGACAAACAGGGCTACTTTACTAAAGAGTCAGTTTGGGAAAAGGTTTTTACATATACCTGATAGGCTACCAAAGCAGTAAAGAGTCCAGTTCGGTCCCGGTGTTGGCATAGAAACTTCACCAGGATTTTCCAGCATGGTTCGCCCTTGTCAGTGGGGCATGACAGATGGGACGAAAAACCAAGGTCCTGTATACACATTTGTGTGCACATAAAAGATTCCTTGACTGTTGGAATTCGATATAGAAGGCTGTAGTGCCGCTGCCTGGACAAAATTTCCCTCACAGCACACTGCACATCTAATGGCTTATGACCATCTTCATAGGACTAGTTGAAGCAGAAAAGTGGGACATTAAACCTCATTTCATTTCTTTTTGCTTCATAAGCTTAGTAATTAAAACTGTCATCATAGTCTGTATGATAGAGTGGCTCACTGGGTAGGACATTGGCTCCCTAACCTGGTGGTCCCGTGTCAATCCCTGTTCATTGGGATTTTCTGGCATGGTTCCCCCTTGTCAGTGGTGTAGGACAGTTATCAAAAATAACCCAATTTATATTTATTAAATGGATCCACAGAGGCCACAACGTCTGCGTTGACAAAATGTTTGCACTATGTACAGTTTTGGCTGCACAAACTGACTAAATTCCCCCCCCCCCCCCCAAAAAAAGAAGAAAATACAGAAACATTATGAGATTGGACGTATTTCCGAAAAACTAATAAGAGTAGGCCATAGCGCTGCTTTACGGGTAAAATTTCCCTCATAGCACACTGTATGGCGTATGCCCGTCTTCATTAGCCCAGTAGGAGCAGAACAGTATGTGTACAATGTAAAGTATATAGTTTAATGTATACTGCAGCTAAATATAATCAAAGATATACTGTATTAGATTTATGTTAATAATTGAAATCCATGTAATTGGCTTTAGGGGTTTAAGAATTTGTGAATGAACCCACTTGAATTTGAATTAATGTGTTATTAAAAGGTACAATTACATGTTTATTTATACTCTGGATGGTTTTACAAATTAGGTATTTGATGATGGTGGAAACTTGGCAACAATTGAGGTTTAGAGCTTACACATTTGAATATAATAAAGACTGCAAAAAATGTATTAGAAGTTGTTATATTCATGTCCTTCAATAGACAAATAATTCTTTTTGTCAATTACTCATCCATGAACACAAAGCTGAGAGCACACTTTTAATGCACTTAATGTGATGTAATGAATAATAAAATATTCCACTTATATACATTTGTAGTATTTGACAAATATGGTTATTGAGACATTTCATTGATGATTTAACAGGAAGGCTTATAGGTTTGTATTGGAAATACTTTTGTTTTTAAAGTAGCTGTACTATATAGTACATGTATGTAGCTATTTGTTTTCTGGACGCTCGATGAAAGGAAATTTGATTCCTAAAAAGTTAATTTTCAGTACAGGAATGAACAGGCACACTGTTGTTTTTTTGTATTCTATTCATTGAAGTGAAACTGTTGTACATAAACATAAGACCAGGAAGTATCAAATATACTTCTATGTCAGGATTAGTTTAAGGGTAGTGATATTAAATACATGTAGGTATGTTTCTTATAGCATTGGAAGGAATTGAAACTTGATTTCTTCAGTTTTAATAAGGACTATTACTTTAAGAAGCATTATGTAAGATTTAGATAAAGAGCTGGCCATTCTTCCTATTAGAATAATGGTTCAAAAATAGATCATGAAAAATGAATATGTTGAAAAGTTCAATCAAATTACTTTATGATGGTTTGAAGGTTTTGACAAAATGCAGCTTAGAATGTTTATTATAGTAGAAACTTAACTTGAAATTCACAACTAAAAATCGATTGTCTATTTTATCATCAAACTTTTAAATGATAGCAGTGTTCTTATCTACTTGGAATCGGAGCCATTTGATGGTCCAGAAAGTTGATTATATAACATTTGAAGCCAGAAAAGATCTGCAATTTACAGATTTAGCTCTCACATGATGCATCTTTAAAATAGGTAGACCTCTTTGATTTTGGCCCATCAAAAAGATTTTTAATTGGATATGTATGTCATTTGTTTGTGGGGTGAAAATACATGTAATCGACATATAAATGAAATGAAATGGGATTTAACATGTGATATGAAGGAAATTTTGACCGGACAGTGGCAGTTCCATCTGCTCTTCATCAAATTCCAACTGTGAAGGTTGGCTTTACATGAACACCAACAAGGACAAGTGTGTACCGTGGATTTTCGGCCCATCAGAACTACTAGACAACTTTTCGTTGCCAGGGACTACGTCTTGCCCTTATGGCAAGGGAAATCAGACTGGAAAACATTTTCTCAGCCTTAACTTGAGCACCGGGATTGACCCAGTGATCGTGTGTGTGGTCATACCTACTGAGCCACTGTGGCTCATGTCTATAGATAAAGTCAGTGTTGAAATATAACTGATTTTGTATTCCACGGACAAAACAGAAATTAGAATTTCTAATTAACATTAAAATAGTAAGCAAGCCAACTTCCATTTAATCAAGTTTGTCCCCTCAATGTCACTAATTAAAATAACACATCAGAAGAACCCAATTTAATATGTTATTTTCAACTTAAATTAAAGAGACTGAACTCTATTATTCTCCTCATTTTGTTTATGCATACTAATTTGTACACATTTTTTTTTATCAGGCTTTGTCTATACATGTCATTCAATTAAAATTTTTGAGGTGATGCACAAGACAAACTCTTGCACACAGACAGTTGTGGGTGGTGTCACTTTCTTCAGAAGATGTTTGTTTAGTTGCCAGTTAGTGTTGTAAAGTGTAAGAATGTAAATGAGAGAATCGTTGTATCCTGTCTGTTGTATTTGGTGAACTGTAATTCGATTTTGACTCTGCCTTGAGGACATATATAGATTATACCACAAAACAAAAGGTGTTACATGTATATTAACAAATGAAATGTCTCAGATATTGAAAGTAAATACTTATAATATCAACATAAATTCATGAATGTTTTGTTCCAGCACACCCTAAAGAATTGTTTGGATGATTATTAAATAGTTAAGACCATATAAAGTACTTAGAAACAATCTGTTATAGTGCACAAAACGTAATAAAACATTGAGTAATTTTTTTCAAAAATAAGGTGCACACATTTATCTATAGACATGTATGTGTTGTTTTCTTGAGCTTTTTTTTTTCCTAACATATTCACTTTCAAACATAACACCCAGATTTATTTGAGGAACGATTGCTTCAATTTGTGAAAAATCTATAATTAATTATTTAGTACCAGTTGTTGATGTAATATGGATGCCAATTAATGAGCCATACAGGAACTTGGCTAATTGAACACTGATGTCATGATATTGGAGTTTCATGTACATTATAAAATATTTATTACTTGTTATAAGCCTGTTTATGTAATATATATCAGTGTCTAATATATGATATATACCAAATCTAATTTTGTAAAAGATCATAAAAGCTGTATAACTCTAAGAAAGAGCAGGGTCCTGAATCCAAATCAGGAGATATTAATTGATTTTGTTTGCTTAATTAAAGAGGCATGATGTAAGACTTAGATAAAGAATTAGATAAAGAAAGTAGACAGTAACAAATGAATACACTGTATATTTAAAATGTCAGTCAAGTTACTTTATTGAGCAAAGTTATGAATGTTGAAAGTTTTGACGAGAAAGTGCTTAAATTGTATCCACCGATTGAAGGTTTATATTATTATATCCATTGCCAGTGTCAGGATATTTAAACGTAGTTTTGATTTTCAGTGTCACCATATTAATATTTGACGTACAATGTAGATATAAATAATGATAATAATAAGGGTACTTATAAGGCGCTAGACTCCAAAGTCTGTATGCTCAAAGTGCTGGGGATCACGTGGCTAAGTGGGTAAGACTAAGTCGGGTGTTCGATCCCTGCATTGGCCGAGAAAGTTCATCCAGATTTTCCGGCGTGGTTTCCCCATGTCAGTGATGCAGAGCGGAGGGCCTGACAATGACAGCTGTCTAGTCGTTCGGATGGTACGAAAAACCGAGGTCCTGAGTACACATTGGCATGCACTTAAAAGATCCCTTGGCAGTTGGAATTCGATATTATAAGAGTAGGCCGTAGCGCCGCTGCCTGGGCAAAATTTCCCTCATAGCACACTGTAAGGCGTATGCCCGTCTTCATTAGCCCAGTTTAGAAGCAGAACAGTAGGACGTTAAACCCCATTTCATTTCTCAAAGTGCTGACAAAATTTCCAGTAAATACTTATAGTTGGCATTGTCTTATCCACTCAATATCTAAGCCATCTGATGGTCTTGTGGGATTGTTATGTGAATAAATGACTAAATGAAAATTTATATAACATTTGAAACCAGAAAAAAGACCTGTTGATTTAGATTTTGAAAATGCATCTTTAAATGTTAAATAATCAATTTGAGTCTATATTAGTGTGGATTAGGTCATAGAAATTTTGTATTTTCCGAAAAAAGCAAATGACACTGAGAGACTTAAGTATTGAAAGCAGTAGCGAGTTCATCTGATTAAAATCAAGTGGTTCTATTAATAGTACAAGGACATGCAATTAACAATTAGTTTGTGCTTTAAAAAATAACTTAATTGTTTCCCAGTTACTATTGCAGTCAGGATGCTCCTGTGAGAATCTTATAATTCTGATGTTTGTGAGTGTTATGCATACAACTTGTAACAAGGGAATCGTTTATCATGATTGTGACTGGTTCAATTGAAGACGACTTCAGAGTTATGGATTATTATAATATGATGATTATTTTTAAAAAGACTATGTCTAGACAATCAACATATGATCTGAAATTAAAGATTTGCATATAAGACAGATTAAATTACTAATAAAATACAACATGGCTGGCCAAATTGCTAATTTATGATAAAACTTATAATTTTTGGGGATCTTATTTTTCAGAAGAAACCTGAAGAGATGAAAATGATCACCTTTTAAATGATATCACAAGTTTTCTAGTCCTCTGAATAACATCTGCACAAGCACATATATATCTACGCACAATATGGAGAATGAGCTACACAAGAGAGACCATCTTGGAGTACAAGATTTTGTTCTTCTAGAAGATTATCATAACCAAGATGCATTTCTTGATAACCTACGCAAAAGATTTGAAGGAAATCTCATCTATGTAAGTCTCTTTAGTATAATTTTCAAGACAAAATATGTAATAACAGTAACACCAAAAAAATTGGTACTGTAATTATTAAATTTGTTCACCTAGTGTTTATTTTATTACCCTGGTTTTAGGACACTGGTCATATTGAAAGAAGGGAGGTTTATTTGGTGGCCAAACCCATGCACTGTAAATCACAAGGCCTCATATGTATGCAGGTCATGGGTTTGATCTAGAGTTTGTACGTGACAAGTTGTGGGGTCCTCTTCCTAATCTTATCAATTTCTCTGTGTACTTCAGTTTCCTCTCGCTAAAGACTCATGTGCACAATATGTACCATGTTTGTCCCAAACTGACCTGGTCAGTATTGAGTGGACATGTATTGTTTTTACCTTACTTAGTGGTCCTGTGTTTGTGCCATTTTAATTTTTCTGTACAAATCCCACCAAGCTTACTATACCAATTTGTGCCAAAGGTTCAAAATATGAGTTGTCAATGATAGATGCAATTTAAGCAAAATGTGAGTTGTCCTTCTATATACCTGAATGAAGTAACGATCGATAACAGATACATGTTCGAATTTTTGCTTACTGATACATTGTAATTCCTTCGGAGACCAAAAGTTGTTCTATGAGACTGTGAGAGGATATCTGACAATTTATAAAAAGAGTTGACTCTCACTAGATAAGAGAAAATGGAAAAATCTGTCCATTACCATCCGTCCACAATTGTTTGTGAACACTCTACAGGTCACAATTTTTATCAGATTTCAATAAATAAAACTTGAAATATAGGTTTATCACCCTAAGATCTCGGTTCCTTTCGATATTGGCATGTATCGGACTGTAACTTCATGGATTATGGCCCCTGATTGTACGAAAAATCACGTTTTTAGCTTATGAACACTGTAGTGGTCACAATTTTTATCCAATTTGATTTAAACTTGAAATGTTTGTTTATAACCCACAGATCGCGGTTCCTTTCGATATTCGCGCATATCGGACCATAACTTCCTTTTTTAACCTATTTAAAAAAACGTTTTAAAATATATCACCGTTAAACCCTAAGGATGGCTGAGTTCGAATTCCGTAAAAATCGGACCGAAACTGACAGACTAAATGACCGCCCCTCGTTGGCAAATAGTGTCAAAATATTGTGTGTCAGGGTTGTGGGCCCTCTGGAGGTCACACTTTTCATCTGATTTTTATGAAACTTGAAATGCATGTTTATAACCCAAATATCTTGCTTCCTTTCCATTTTCGTACATATTGAATCGTAACTTCCTGAATTATGGCCCCTGATTGTACAAAAAATCACGTTTTTAGCTTGTGGTCCCTCTAGAGGTCACAGTTATTATCCAATTTAAAAAAACTTTCGAATATATCACCGTTACACCGTAATTTTGTCGGAGCTTGAATTTCATGAAAATCAGACTAAATCTGCCGGACGAAATGGCCGCCCCTCGTACACAAATATATCACCGTTACACCATAATTTTGTCGGAGCTTGAATTTCATGAAAATCGGACTAAAACTGCCGGACAAAATGGCCGCCCCTCGTACGCAAATGGTGTAAACATTTGGTATATCAAAGTTGTGGACCCTATAGAGGCCACAATTTTGATCCGATTTTGATGAAACATTATAATGCAAGTTTATAACCCAAAGATCTCGCTTCCTTTCAATATTCGCGCATATCGGATCGGAACTTCCTGAATTATAGCCTCTGATTGTACGAAAAATCACGATTTTAGCTCATGGTCTCTCTAGAGGTCACAATTTTTATCTGATTTAAAAAAACCTGTAAATATATCACCATTACACAATAAGATCTTTGTTCCTTTTGATAATCGCGGATACTCAAACTTAATTTCCTGAATTATAGCCCCAGAGTTGATCATCTCGGAGTCCTAATGCTTCTTGTCAAATTTGAAAAAAAAATCTGTTAAAAAAAGACTTTATTCTCAATATTGTCCTTTAAAGTTTTGTGTATACCTGTAATTGATGAGATATAAGTATTGATTCTACCATGTTTTATTTTATTTTTGCAGACATACATTGGTCCTGTATTAGTATCTATAAATCCATATCATGAATTAGATATCTACAACACAGAATTTATACAAACATATCGAAATGTCAACTTCTATGAGTTGCCCCCTCACATGTAAGTAAATCCATATTTACTAAAAAAATGTAATCAATTTATTCCATCACAGAAACCCTATTTTCAGGATTTCGGTGTACCCCTATTTCTAATATAATAAACTTGATATCATATTCTGTGTGATGATGAGTTTTTTAAGTTTCAGTTATTAAGTATCTGAACTTTAATTAAGAACCATTAAAATTAATATTTTATCATTATTTCATTCCACTATTATGGTTCAGATTTTCTACACTACAGAAGATCTAACATAGGCCTATATAACAAACGGCTGTCATTCAGAAGGCTGATATTGGCTGTGTTATATGCAAGACTTCAGTAAGTTTATAATAATAGATCACTGGACAATATCCTATAGCACAGGACACTCAAATCACACCAGATAAGATTGTCATTTGTCAGTTTGCAGGCCTGAAAAGACAAGTGGAAAGTGTTAATATACAGTAGTTGACTTATGAAAAACTTAGGTCCACGTATGTCCATGTGGACTTTTGCATGAAAGAATATTTTACAGTACAAATCATCATAAAGGAGACAGAGTAGTTGGAAATGTCACTGTTCTGGCCAAATTCTACTCCCTCACATTGCACACCTAAAGTAATTTATTAAAGATGTGGAAACTGTCAAAAAAGAGTACATATAGTATATACATGTGATTGATTTTGTGCTTTTCAACAGAAGAGATTTATATACTGTATCTAAAGAAGTATTGATTGTATTTTTTAAGAGATTGTACCATAGGTATGATACACATGTTTTTTTACATGTAATTAGCTAAAGACATTGGAAGACTTCATTTAAATGTAGAGATTTGTGATATTGATTTTGTTTAGGCTCATTAGACTGTTTTTCACATATTCTTACATTGATGTTTTTTCTGCTGGTCGTATTACCTGCTACTTATTAGTGTTTAAAAGATTTAGAGTAGAAATAATAAGATAATCAATGTTTTAACTCAATAAGATTGTGTAGGTAGCACAGACTGAATTAAAAGACAACGCCCTGAAGTTTTAATGTAGACTCTGTAGGATTGCCATTCTATTCTCCATCTACCTTAAATGAATGTTCATAATTTTAAAGATTAAAATCGGGGATGATCAAATTATTTACCATCCATTATTTCTTTTGCTCTATGTGTGAATGTATGACCTATTCATGTACACACTTCTCTATTCAGGATATAATTTGAAAGAGATTAAAAATCAGATTAATTATAAATATTTCATCAAGATATTATGACTTGACTGTGCTAAATAGAAAATCATTGATTAGAAAATGTATTGAAACTATTTGGCCCCCAAAGATTATTTATTTTACAAAATACATGTACTTCAAGAGAAATTTAATATTCCCCTGACTATCTGAGAAAGCAGAATTGCAAAACTAAGACGAGTTATTGAAGCATAAACATCTTACTATTAGTATATAGAGGATATTTGTCGTTTTAGAGTGAATAACATATTTTATTTCATCGAGAAGCAAGAAAACTTATATTTAGAGATGAAATAAAATATGTTGTTCACGACAAAACGACAAATGTTCTATTTATTTTATGATTTTACAATCATTTTAGGTAAAAACAACATGGACTACTGCTAGCCAGTGGAATAACACTTTTATTTCACTGATAAAATGCGATATTCCACTACTGATCATAAAATAAAATGAAATATTGACAAAATAATTAAAATAGGTTTAATTCTTTAAAAGTCTCTGAATGTGATTTGAGAAATATAGGAATCCCTTGCCAACTACAATATTGATAAAATTGAATCTGTAACAGGAATATCAGTCCAAAAATGGTTCAGTTACTTTCAGTATTTGATGAACCGAAATTCCATCGATTTATGTGGCACCCTATGTAAACAAGCCTTCCACCATCTTTATATTTCACGAAATCTAATTGATGGGCCTGTTTTTAATCAGATGAATCCAAGCCAGGAGATTATCTAGTGTTGATATTTTGATTTTGTTTTCATAATTAGCTTGGATTGAGCCATAAGAAGTTTAATATTTACCTAAAAAAATGAAATTGTGCACAGTTACTTTAATAAGATATCAGTGTTTGCAAAAACATGTGAGAAAGTCATGTACTCTTACTTTTTCTAAGACACCGGGATTGTGCAAATAGCATTACAACAATGGGATATGAAGATATTAATATGATATATCAGGGTAATATACATACTGAAACAATAGCTCGCTTAAAGTGTTGTCTGCTTCATTGAAATGGATGAGTCTGCAGCTCTATAATTAGTAGGCTACATGTATAATAAGAGTTGTTTTGAGGTTTTTCCTGAAATTATTCATAATTTTTATTAAAAGAGTTATAAAAATGATGGTACTGTGATATTCATAATTCCCTTACTGCTCAAATTTATAATTCTTTTACCACTTCTAGAAAACTTCTCCATTCAGATGGCTATGATTTATCTTTCTTAGATCAGTGTAATTTTAACTAGGAATTAGAAAATTCAGAGACACTAACCAGTAAATTTGAAGCATTGGTTTATGATGAAGGTGATGTACTTCCTTGTTATAAACACAAATATCCAAGCATTTCTATATAAACAGGAACTGGTTAATAAATTGCATAATTTCTAGGAAAATGGCAATTGAATTTGGTTTTTTGTGTTCGCTATATCATAACTTGAGATAAAAAATAAAATCTTAGACTCTAATGGTTTTCTTGTATTACATTACTCTGAAAAAACATGTATAATTAAGGTGGTATTATGGGCAATTAGATAAAGAGCTGACAGTTCTCGCTATAATAGTTAAAAAATAGATATCTTAAAGAGACTAGCTGAGAATTTTAGTCAAATTGCTCCACTCTGAACCAAGATATTAGCGAATGAATTTTAAGCCTAGCCTCGATCATCATTACTAAAGTTGGTATGATAAAAAAGAAAGTCTCGATTATCCATTTTGACGTTACATCATACATCACAAAATGTATTCCAATCCGCTAAATATCGCAGTCTAGCTATGGCATCGAGAGTTGAATAAGGTCTTGATCGGCTAACGAATATGGTCTTGATAGGCTAATTAATGTTTAATTAATAATTTAGATATTTCAGGCCTAAAGAGAGACCTGCAATAGGCAGATTTAGCTCTTGTATAATGTATGTTTATTAAGACGCCAACATTATATTTAGCTTTTTTAGTACAAAAACATTCCTTCTTATATTTATTATGAAAACATATTAATATAATTAATTTTGTTGTAACATAAAACAAAATAACAGTTTTTATTTTTTAAGTTGGTCCTCTAAATTCTCAAATGATAGAAAACATTTTTCATTTGATGCTACAGATAAACTTACATTATAAAACTTGAGTATATAGTAGGTACCTTAAAAACATTAATAGATTTCATGCAGGCGGACACCAAGAGATAAAAGAATTACATTTGAAAACTTAAATGGAGGTAATTAGATTGAGGAGTTGTGGCATTTGTTTAGAATTGTAAGATTTATTACCGTTACTTGTGTTAGCTTTGGAAAAATTGTTTAAAAGAAAAACAGCCATTGCTTAGAAGAGTCACCTTTTTAAACATCCTTGCTTTGATAGCTGAATGAGGAAATAGAAGTATGAAATTACATTCAGATAAAATAGTTTAAAACAGATGTAATTAAAATATTTATTATTAACCATGAAAAGTGTCTAAAACAGATGTAATTAAAATATTTATAATTAACCATAAAATGTGATAAGTTGTTGTGTTGTGAAAGATATAAACAAGAATATCTTAGAGGTTACTGCATCTTTGTTTGTTAGCTTGATATCAACATTGGTCGAGATCAGTCGAAATTCATTGATTCTATCATGTCTGTTACGAAAAATGTCTTCCAGCTGTCTGACTTAGACAACATTTACGTGTTTGTTTATGTCGGAGTTGTGCAGTCAAATGCAGACGACAATGCAGACTTGTGATCAATATTAAATGTTTTTATGTTGAGTGTCAATAAACAACATGGATGCCATTTGTTGATTTATGTTGGATATTGTAAACTACGTTAGGTCACATTGACTGTGTGACTAGGAGTATCCTTCTTTATCTGCACTTTTGATCAAATCCTATACTTTTAATTATAGAAGTGTTATGGAATATAATTCAATTTATTTAGCTGAAAATTTCAGATTAAATCTGTACCATTAAAAATATAAATTACTGTGTAATGTGTATGATTTACTAATACAAGGGTGGACCCACTGCTGACTGCTTCCTTCCCACCCACACACAGACACTCACACGCACAAACATTCAAGCGATTCCCTGTTTTATGCACATGTTAAAAATATAACTAAGTAAATAAAAATTCTGTCCTGTCGTGTGATATTTGTTTTCTGGTATTTTTAGATTAAACTTGGATATATTTGATTAAAGCATACACTGCTGTAGATTGCCTTTAATTGACATAAAATCAATGAAAATTCTGTTTTTCCAGAATTATTTTAGGTTAAGGATTTGGGTATTGGATAGAAATTTTGTACAGAATTATATTAACAAAAATGTATTCATAGTATCAGCCTCTTATAAATGCAGGCATTGTCAAGTTTGTAAGGATTGACAAGGGACCTGTATTGATTCAGTTAGTTCAGTGATATTCTCAGAATGTTTATTTACCTTCAATAGTCACTGTTGTACTTTTGTTAAAGAATTTAGATTTTGAAAGTTTACTGTTTGTTAATTTCAAGAGTTGTTTTATTTTTTTCAGATTTGCTATAGCAGATGCATCTTATACTTCTATGAGAGGTGAAAATAAAGATCAGTGCATTTTAATATCAGGAGAATCTGGCGCTGGTAAAACAGAAGCCTCAAAGAAAATCTTACAATACATAGCAGCTAATAGTACACATTCTGTAGATGTAGAGAGAGTTAAGGATAGATTATTACAGTCAAATCCTATATTAGAGGTAATCCATATGATTTGTAGCTCAATCTTCTTGTAAATTTGTAACTGATATTTGTACAATTGTTAATTGTCTAAATATTTTGAAAATTATCAATTCTAAAAGAAGCTTGATTGATAACTTAGATAGAAACTGTTTATAGTCGATTACTGTACAATACAGAAGTAATTGCATGTGCATAAAGTTTATAAATTATGTGTAAAGATTAAAAGCATGCAGACAAAAGGATTTCACTAAGTTTTTATACGCCCACATTTTCATTTGGACGTATTATGCCGTCGCCCCAGTCCGTCTGTCCGTCCTTCCACAATTTGTTTGTGGACACTCTACAGGTCACAATTTTTATCCGATTTTGATGAAACTTGAAATGTATGTTTATAATCCACAGATCGTGGTTTCTTTTGATATTTGCAGACTGTAACTTCCTGGATTGTACAAAAAATCATGTTTTTAGCTTGTGGACCCTCTAGAGGTCAAAATTTTTAGCCAATTTTAAAAAACGTTTAAATTTATCACAGTTACACCCTAATGACAGCTGAGTTCCAATTTCGTGAAAATCGGACCAAAACTGCCTGACAAAATCGTGACTACTTGTGCGCAAATAGTGTAAAAGTATGTCATACCAAGGTTGTGGACCCTCTGGAAGTCACAATTGTTCTTAGATTTTGTTGAAACTTAAAATATATGTTTATGTCCGAAAGATCTTGGTTCCTTTTGCTCTCTACGCATATCAGACGGTAACTTCCTGGATTATGGCCCCTGATTGTACCAAAAATCGTGTTGAATAGCTTGTGGATTCTCTAGAGGTCACAATTTTTTATCCGATTTTAAAAACCGTTTAAATATATTATTACCATTCCACCATAATGAAGGTTGAATTCGAATTTCGATAAATCGAAACAAAAGTGCCCAACAAAATGGTTGCTCTTTGTACGTAAATTGCTTAAAAGTACGTAATATGAAGGTTGTGGACCCTCTAGAGGTCATAATCTTTATCTGATTTTGATGAAACTTAAAAATTATACCTATATATCCCAAAGATCTCTGTCTCTTTCGATATTTGCGCATTGCAGACCATAACTTTCTGGATTATGGCCCCTGATTGTACGAAAAATTGCTTTTGTTTTTAGCTTGTTCTCTATCCATCTCTTGCAAAATGTGGGTGTATCTTGACTGGCAACTACTGTTTTTTTCTTGTTTTTGTTTTCTTTGGTTCTTCTGAATAGTTAAATGAATGTGTATTAAAAGACCTTAATCTGTGCAAATAGGTGTATTTATTTCCTCTTCTGAACCAAAGCCTAGCTTTTGAAGAATTGGCATTTAACTAATTTTAGAAATTGAATAAACATGAAAAAGTTCTAAATAAAGGTTATTTGGTGTTTGCTTGGAATTGTTGAGGGTACACAGAATTGTTCAACTTGTATACATGAATTTAAACAACCCCACACTAGCTTTCTGCTGCATTATTTAAACATGGATGTTTAAAATTTTTGACAAGCTAAAGCCTATTGAGAAACTTGAAGTAGTTTGATTTAGATAAAAAGCTGGCCTTTCAAAAACAGATAATGAAAAATATATAGATCCAAAATTTCTATCAATTTACTTTATTCAGAGAGATGAATGTTTGAAGTTTTGACAAGATTTGACATGTGTAATATATCCAAAATTTTGATCAGTTTGAAGTTTTTACCAATTTTTTTATAAATAGTCTTGATTATCAAGTACCATTGCTATGATAACAAATGAAGTCTCAATTGCCCATTTTGACTTTAACCGAAGGGTTGGATTGCCGAATCGTTAGCACTGTATCATAAGGTCTGTCATTGAGTCAACTGGCGGGATTTCGATTCCCCGGTTGTACGTGACAAGGAGTAGGGTCGCCTGTCCAACCTAGTGAGTTTTCTCAGGATCCTCCAGTTTCCTCCCACTGCTAAAGACCCCTACATGCAAGCGAATTATTGAAATAAAATTGAACCATGTGTTAGTCCCAAAATGACCTAGTTTGTGTCGAGTGGACGTTAAACCCCATTTCTCGCTCTCTCTTTTAAAGTTAACCAATTATAAATAGCTTGCCATGTGAATAAATGTTTAATAATTTATGTAACATTTAAAGTCAGAAAGAAAAATGCAATAGGCCGATTAGCTCTTGCATAATGCACCTTTCAGTATAAATATTATTTGTAAAATATATATGTCAAATACATAGCATATTCTCCAAGATGTAACACATAGCTGGTTTTATTTATATGGAGGGGGGGGGGGTGAAATCTTTACAAATAATGGGATTCTTGAATTTGATTTTTTATTTCAGAGTTTTGGAAATGCCAAAACAAACAGAAATGATAATTCCAGCCGCTTTGGAAAGTACATGGATATACAGTTTGATTATAAGGTATGACTAGAACTATTCATTATTCAAATATTCATTTTCAGTCATTTAAAACATTTTGTGACCAGATTTGTATTGAAATGTTAAATATATTTCTTTATTTCAGGGAGCACCAGTGGGAGGCCATATTTTAAATTATTTATTAGAGAAGTCTCGTGTTGTACACCAAGGTCAGGGAGAAAGAAATTTTCATATATTTTATCAGTTAATACAGGGTGGTAGTCCGGCTTTATTAGAAAAACTGAAATTAGACAGAAATCCGGATAAATATTTCTATTTAAATCAGGTAGGTCAAAGTTCATTTAAATAAAATTATTTATTATACTATAGAACTCTGGCACTTGATAAAACTACAGTAGAATCTGTATTCAGCAGCCACTCAGAGAATCTTTATGACTGAACGCTTAACGAGAGTGACCTCTTAATGAAATCTCAGTGGTTGTTAGTGTTGACATCTAGTAAAATTTTAACGGTTAGATCACTTAGATGTAATGGAAACAACCATTAATACTCGCATCGGTAAATTTGGCCGTTGCTTATAATGAAATTCTTTGAGTTAAATCTCTGATACAAATTCTACAAACGTATCATTTTGTACCAACATTATTATTATTATTATTATTATTTTTATTATTATTATTATTATTATTATTATTATTATTATTATTATTATTATTATTATTATTATTATTATTTTTGTGTATTTCTATAGTGCACCTTTCACAAAAGTGGTCAGATGAATTTTACAATTCAATAAAATTCCAAAATGCAGATAGACAATATGATAAAAACTAATGGGAGTAATACAAACAATGAATTGGTACACATTAAAAGTATCACAATAATAAAAGCGTAAAAGAAATAAAATTAAGTTATAGAATTCTATAAAATGCTTTAGAAAATAAAAAAGTCTTTAGATTAGTTTTAAAAGTCTGAAGTGATTCACAACTTCTTACTGTTAATGGTAATTTATTCCATAGTTTAGGAGCTTTAATAGTGAACGACTTTTCTCCCGCTGATGACTTAGCATTGGATTCACAAAGTAACCAGTTATCCCTACTGGAGCAGAGTTGGCGGTTGGATTTATTAAGAAATGTAATAGCTGAGATAGGTACACAGGAACCAAAACATTTAGACATTTAAAGTTTAATAGTAGGATTTTATAGTCAATTCTGTAAGTAATAGGTAGCCAGTGGAGGTTAAATAATATTGGTGTTATATGACTAAAATTTGAAAGTCCAGTTATAAGACGGGCCGCATTATGCAAGAGCAAAATCTGCTTATTACAAGTCTTTCTTTAGGCCTGAAATGTTATCTAAATTATCAATTAGACATTAATTAACTTATCCAGACCATAATAAACTCTCGATGTCAAGGCTAGCCTTCGATGTTGGCTGGATTAGATTCCTATATGCTGCTAACGGCTATTGATAATTAAATCAGAAAAAGTGGATAATCGAGACTATGCTGTTTATATTGATGATTTTAGTAATGATGACCGAGACTATGCAAAAATTTCACCCGCTTCTTTCTCGGCTCATAGTGGATCAATTTGACTGAAATTTCCAGCAAATTACCTTTACACTATCTAGTTTTTAACTATTATAACGAGAACTGCCATCTCTTTATCTTATCTCCCATAATGTATCTTTAAGTAATTCTTTTTTGTGAAGAAAATCCCTGAATTATTTTATCAAAAAAGCACATGTCAAAACAACTATTGCTGAAATTGTCACCGATTTTCAGGGGGTGTAACTCTGTATGTAATGGAAAATAGATACCGGATGATTGTGACAGACGGTACATTTAGTCTATTCAATCGATATCAAATAATGTTTTGTTAGGTGTGAAAACAATGATCAGCGTTTGTCATTTAATAAAACAAAAAATTAATTAACCAATAATCAAGGGTTTATTGTTATGTTCACGCTTCTTTTTACCTAATTGGTGTGGGGCCAGATAATTAACTGTAAATCACAGGATTAGTGGATGCGGTATGACAGGACGGTATCAACAATGGCGGTTGAATAACTAAAACAGTGACCGCTGGCTGCGTTAGAGGAGTGACTGTTTATTAAAGAGATGAAACCAAAGAATTTCTATGCAGGGAATTTATTGTGACCACTTACAAGGAGATGTTGCTGAAATGGAGTGGCTGGTCATACAGATTCTACTGTATACACTTACATGAATAAATAATATTGCAACTTGTGATTTTCATTCATAGTGGATGAACTCTTTTTCCAATGAGTAAATTTTTGATATATTCATTTTTATTATCTGTTTTTGAATGGCCAGCTTTTTATAAATTGACGACTTTGATCGTTTTGTGTCATATATTTTCACCTATTAACGTTTTTCGTCCGTATGTGAACCATATCAACTTTACAGTGCACAGTATTATTTTTGTTGTGATAGGTAACTTTTATTCATACATTGATGATATTCGTAGATATTGTATCTTGATTTATTAAAGTTTCCAGTAGTGTTTATAATGCACTTCTTTGAAAACTTTTTTTTTTACCAAGTACTCCAAATTCAACATTTTTATGTTCTGCTTACGAAGAAGAAAATTGACTAGTGAACAATATTGAGCTATTTTTGCCATTTTATGATTCAGGGTAATTGTTCTAATGATGTTACACATGATGACCAGAATTTGCGAGTTATACAGGAAGCCATGGAAACGTGTGATTTTTCTGAGAAGGAACAAGAAGTAAGTCATAAAGATTTTTTCATCCTGTTGAAATTGAGAATAATTACTCGATGTGCTTTCTTATAGGCCTCACGATTGTGTTTTCTACATATTTTAGGGTATATCAGGAGAAGTGTTGGGTTTCAAAAATTTTCTTGTCGGACATTTTGACCGAAAATAAAGGGGCATAACTCTTATCATTATATTAAGCAGGCAGTTTCAGACCACAATTAAATATCATGTGTCAACAAAATATTCATATCTGTACGTAATAAAAGATAGATGCACCAGGTTATTTTTCATATTTATATAATTATAATTCCTGTATGGTATTCAAATTCATGTCAGTAATATTCCTACAAAATTACATGTTGATGTAATACGATAGAATGAAAGCGTGCTGACAACTGTCGACCCATACTTTTTTCAAATTCCCCTTCAAAATTACTGTAACCATCGCTCCATGATACCGAGCAAGTGACATCATCTGCTAATGATAGCACTCACATGCACTATCGTATGAAACAATTAACTACTTACACTATTCCAATCGAAATATTTGTCGACATTTCTCAGCTAGTTTTTTTTAAAAAAAAAAAATAAATAAAAAAAAACCCTATTCAGAATATTATCATAAACCTGAGAATATGCCATCAAAATAGAATCTGTTCTCCGACATTACTCATGACAATTGTCAGGTTTACATCTCTCTTAATTTCATGCATCTCGCGAGATTTCTACTTTAATTTTCGATATTGTATTATAACCGTGTGTGTGTTAAATAGCTTTATTTAACGTCTGCTTCCACAGAAGTGATATTGTAGAGAAATTAACGGATATATTGATTTACAAGTTAACGGATATATTGATTTGGGGTGTTATAATATATACTCTTACAATATGTGACATGTATGACTAGTTTATACATATTGTCAGCTCACATCAATGCAATTAAAATGAATAGTCCGACAAAGGAGAAGCAATGACGTCTGTTTAAGATTAGATTGATGAATTGTCCGACAAAGGATTAAGTTAGTCAATCAAGGCAGATTAAGTAGTTAACCAAGGTAGGTGTATAGGCGGTATAACACAATAAATACGTTGATCACTTAATTACCTAATCAGTCCAGCCTATTATCAACGATAATCTGGTTGTGTAGTAGTTATACACAATATTAATTTTGGAATTTTGAATATTATTCACCATGTCTTGATGTCCAATCGGTCACATGTCACAAAACTCAATTTCTGGAGTTACTCCCCTTAGTCTATAGTACATTTGTCAATAGACAATTTTACCCAATAAAAGCACACGTCTCTCTCTACGTCAAGGGATAGAAAAGCAAATGCCATACAGTGTGCAATGAGGGAAATTTTGTTTAGACAGCTTCATTCTACCTACTCTTGCTGCAATTTTAAACTGTCAAGAGTTCCTTTACGTGCGCTGCCAAGAAGCACACCGGACCATGGTTTTTCTTCCGAATGACTAGGCACTTTTCCCTGTAAGGCTGTCTATTCTGTATCACTGACTAGGGGAAACTGGGCTGGAAAATCCACAAGGATAGAGATGAGGTTTAAAGTCCACTTGACACAAAATCAGTCATTTCGGGACTAACACAAGGTTCAATTTTGTTTCAATAATTCACTTGCGCATAGGGATCTTTAGCAGTGGGAGGAAACCGGAGGACCCTGAAAAAACCCACAAGGTTGGACAGGCGACCCGACCCTACTCCTTGTCAGGTACAACCGGGGATTCGAAACCACACAGTTGACTCAATGATAGACCTTATGATACAACGTGCACGTGCTGACATCTCTTGCAAAATGTGGGACCGGGGGGTATCTTGCATGGCAACCGCTTGCTTTTGTGCTGGTTAAACTTGGTATATTTAAAGTGTTTGTAAATGTAATTGTGTGATTTTATATATTTTGACAGGCACTGTATTGTATCGTAGCATCAGTTTTACATCTAGGTGATTTAACCTATGAGGTTAATGAGAGTGGAATGGCTAAATTAACAGATGATAAACAGGGACTGGTTATAGCGCAGGTAATGATTATAATACTACTGCTACGAACGTTACCTGTTTACCATTTGAGATAATTGTCACTAAAGTTGTTCCTGAACAGGCTTATTTGTGGCGTATTTTTTATTCTTATATTCTTCTTATATATTATTTACTTTTTGAACTTACCAGAAGAGTCAGTCTGGGAGTTTGGAGAGGGAGGGGGTTGCAAAAACTATTTCAGATAATTTCAAGAAAATGTGAACATGCATCATATTGACGTTTGCAGATTTTATAATAAATTGTTTTCCTTTTTTTCATCAAAACTAGTTAGACAAAATAGTTTACTTCATTCAGTCAAAGTTCACTTATGTGACCCCTGGCATGGCCACCCTTACAAACCAGTCAGATCTATATGGATGGAGTTGAGGCCATCGAAAGTATACACTAGATAACCCAGTCACCAACATTAAAAATTAAGTCAGATCTGTATATTGGTACTATTTGGTGTAAGTTTAAAAATATTTTGAGAACAATTGACATTTATATTAAAATTTATATTGAATATTTATAAATTATATAAGATGTTATATTACAGTTATTAGGATGTGAAGGAGATACCTTAGAATCAGCTTTACATAATAGAACTATAGATGCTAGAGGAGAAAAGGTAATTACAGTCATATACAGTAATAATGTTTCATATCTTAATACTGCAGTCTACTGAAGAGTTTCTACAAATTGAATATGATTGATATAATCCTTCAATATTTTGAGATATAGTTCTTGTTTTGTCTCCAATATATCTCATTTTATGTATATGTACTGACTGTTTATATACTATTCAAAATAAGTGGGGGATATTTGATTTTGGGGGCATAATACTAAAATATGCAAATGACTACGAAAAAAGTCACTATAGAACCTAACAGAAGAAACATTTCCAGTTACATGTGACGCCCAAACGCACCAATAGCTACCGCATGGAATGCAGGTGATGCTTGGGATCATCATGGGGGTCCAACCCAAGATTTGCACGACTCTGACTTTGAATGTTACAGTCATTGTGGCATTGAATTCCAGGGTGGAAACATCAGTTTAATTGTTTTAGTGACCAGAAAACAAATTTTGATATGCGTCGGCTTACCCAAAATGAAAGGTTACGTGCCCTTGACATGCTACAGATCGGCACAACACAGGCGGTTGTGGCGCGGACGATGAATGTTTCTCAGTCTGTCATAAGCAGGCTATGGTCCAGATACCGTGATACACAATCTGTACAGGACAGACCATGATCAGGTCGACCAAGGGCGACAACTCAAGCCCAGGATCGATTTATCCGTACCTTGGCCTTGAGAAATCGTGTCATCACAGCAAATCAGATCAGCGCTCGTCTTCAAACAGACACTGGTGTGAGAGTGAGTGGCCAAACGATTCGGAATCGACTGCATAGGGGTCACCTTCGCGCCCCCCTTGTTTGAGAGATCATCACATTCAGGCAAGACGTCGTTGGTGTAGGGATCGTCAACACTGGGATAATCGACGCTGGAGCAATGTGATGTTTTCAGATGAGTCAAGGTTCACTGTTGATTTTTTGGACAGACGTAGGAGGGTGTGGCGTCGTCGAAACGAGCGCTTCCAAGACGTTAACGTCATCAGACATGATCAATTTGGGGGTGGTTCTGTTATGGTGTGGGGAGGCATCACTGTTGCTGGAAGAACGGCTTTACATGTTGTTGCAGGGCGTGTTACAGGCCAGTACTACCGGGACAACATCTTGGCAGTCCATGTTGTGCCGTTCGCACGACGTCATGGCCGCCGTTTCATCTTCCAGGATGACAACGCAAGATGTCACAGGGCCAGGATCGTTACAGGTTACCTTCAACAACAGAACATCACCACATTACCTTGGCCAGCACTGAGTCCCGACCTCTCCCCCATCGAGCTTGTCTGGGACATGCTTGGACAGAGGTTACGTCAACGTCAACAACGTCCTGCCAATGTCCAAGAACTTGCTGCTGCGTTGCAACAGGAATGGGACAATCTGGACCAAAATGACCTTAGACGTCTCATTAGGAGTATGCCACGTCGGATCAATGCTTGTTTGGCAAACAGAGGAGGATTTACCCGTTACTGACTTGGTTGTGATGCTGTGGTAACTTTGCTGTTTGACCCCGGGTATCATTTTACCCTTATAATGGTCAGTCTGTGCCTTACTTAGTCTAACGATCATTTGGAATAAATCGATGAATGTGAACTTTGTTTCTTCGTCAGTTTCATTAGGTGACTTTAATAACACTTAAAAATCAAATATCCCCTACTTTTTTTGAATAGTATATTACAGTATCCTTCAGTTAACTATTTTCCAAATTAAACTTTTATTTTATTGGATGAAATCATTTTGTCATTAATATGGAGGTTTTTTCCTGTAGTTAAAAACACCATTGAATGTCGATCAAGCTATGTATGCCAGAGATGCCTTAGCTAAGGGGATTTATGATCGACTTTTTACTTGGATGGTGCAAAAAATCAACAAAGCTTTAGCCAAAAAGGTAATAAAGATGTATTTAATTTTTTTGTCTACCCACATGTCAGTGTGATAGTATATTGTGATCATTGTGGTTGTATATTGTGGCCACCTGTCCAAACATCCACAATTCCTTGTGAACACTCCGAAGATTAGATATATTTTCAGGTTGATGGGAGTTTTTTTTCTGTGCTAGCTTTATTATTTGAAATCAAATCTTATGACAGACCTAGTAGCACGTCGAATAAATATATTTTTATTTCTACTTCAACAAATAGAAAATCAATAATTTTTGCAGAATTTCATACTTGATATCATTTTGTTTATTTTTGCTAATTTCAGGATAAATTAAAATGTTCTTTGATGGGTTTATTAGATATATATGGTTTTGAAATCTTTGTTATGAATAGGTATGTGTAATATTTTTATTATACACTCATATCTCATGTGTGATAATTATATTGTTGTCATCTAAGTCCATCCATCCACTGTACGGGCTTGTTTAATTTGTCTTAAAGGACAATATTGGTGTCAGTTATAATCACATATGTGATAGAACTAATTAAACACGTTCCAAATATAATTTTAACACAGAGATCATTGCTACGATAGCTGAGTAATACAGGTTTCCTGAATCAGAAGTGACGAACGCTAAAGGAAAACACGAGGCATCCCTCAATATAACTGACTGAAGTGACGAGTGATAACAGATACATGGGCGAATTTCTGCTCACTAATAATTCCTTCCAAGACCAAAAGTTGTTGTGTGAGACTGTGAGAGGATATCTGACAATTCATAAAAAGAATTGACTGCCACTAGATAAGAGAACACGAAAGAAAAACAGAAAAAGTCTGTGCATTACCATGTTTTTATAAGGTATAGAATGAATATAAACAAGGGAATGTACGGACTATTTCTAATTTTCTTGCGTTCTCTTATCTAATGACATTCAATTACTTTATTGAATTGTCAGGTATCCTCTTACAGTCCCGTATAACAACTTTTGGTCTTCGAAGGAATTATTAGTGAGCAGAAATTCGGACGTGAATCTGTTATCACTCGTCACATCAGCCAGTTATATAGAGGGATAACTCGTGTTTTCCTTTGGCGTTCGTCACTTCAGATTCAGGAAACCTGTATTACTCAGCTATCGTAGCAATGATCTCTGTATTAAAATTATATTTGGAATGTGTTTAACCAGCTCTATCACATATATGATAATGACTGGCACCAATATTGTCCTTTAAGGCAAAAAGAAAAAAAATGTAACAAAATTTGCACACTGATTTTTAAGATTTTTCCTCCAAACCTGCTGGGATTGTTTGGATTAAGATAAATAGGGATCCTGTCAAATTCAGACAAGTGGTGTACATATATTTCTTGCTATACTATGTTTTTGTTTAATTACTGTCACATTTTCTTTCTGTCAATAAGTAAAAAGTCTAATTTATACTTATTCTGCATATAAATGATAAACAATTGTTCAAAAATTTGTGTGTGGTTTGTTGTGAAGGAATGTACAATGTTTAGTCCATCAGTTAGCTATAGTCCACATGGTTTTTTTAACAGTGGCCGAAACGTGGTCTACTTCAAGATGAGAATAGGGTTCTTCTAAACCAATAGAAGAGGTTTAATTGAACAATAGTTTTATGTGAAAGTCATTAGAAATCTATGATTAGGTCTATGATTATGCAGTTGAGCTATGTTAGGGAGCTGTTATTTCCAAAAATTTACTGATTCTCTTGATCTGTTTTATAATGCTCCCATTATCTACAAAAGAATTAATACATGACAACCTTTGGTCACTTAGCTTTATTCCGAGAATTTTAATAGGCTATACCTGTTCCCCAATCCCTATTGTTTATAAACAAAAAATATGTAAACCTATATTTATTTCAGTTTTGAACAGTTCTGTATAAATTATTGTAATGAGAAATTACAACAGTTATTTATTCAATTGACATTAAAATCTGAACAGGAAGAATATCAAAGAGAGGGAATTGAGGTCAGTCTTACTTCAGTTTTTATAACAAAACATCAATTTGTATGTATGTAGGTGAGCATTTTGATTAAATACATATTTAAAACTTCATTTCTAATTACAAAATCTTCATATATTGTGACTTGTGTAACTTCAAAATGTCAATGTAACATTTATTGTTAATAATTGATATTTTTGGTATTTCAGTGGGTTCCAGTGCAATATTTTAATAACAAGATTATTTGTGATGTAGTGGAAGGAAAACCGATGGGCATCATTGCAATATTGGTAAGATTTTTAACATTTCATTGAAATTGAAAATACTTTGGGACTTTATTAGGTCACAGTTGTTGGGATTTACTGATATACCCTGTAATGTACAGAAGGATGTCACTATAGACATCAGTCAATCGGTACCGGTACCTATATCATACTAAACAGGTTTTCTGTAATGTTCACCTTTACCTTAAAGGGAGGTGCCAGTGTACATGTAGATAGATCTTAATACCTCATTCAATTTGGTGTATGACTTTGAGCGATAAAATATTTAATTTTTCATTGAGTTTTGTTGACATTTCTGGTCAGCACTCTCCAAGGTGGAGTTCTCTACAGATTGACTGGATTAACTTTGATATTTAGATTTAATCTAGGCATTTGAATATTCCTGAAGCAGTGTTTACAAGCCTTATCAACTCATTAACCATTGCTACATTTAAAAGTTATCGAAAGTATCTCTGTTTCTGGTCCTACAACAACTTTTTAAATACTTAACGAGAGGTTACATCACATAGTAGATGAATTAAAACGAGTCACCCGTATGTGTAGAAATGGTTAATGAGCTGAATATATGTCACTTCAGGAATATAATATGTCGCTTCATTAATATATGTTGCTTCAGGAATATATTGTTTCAGGAATATATGTCAGAAATCAGAAAATATATGTTGCTTAAGGAAATCTATGTCACGTCAGGAACTTACATCACTTCGGGAATATATGACACTTGGTGCATTGTTAATGTTACGGCCCGTTTTTGTAGATTTATTACTTTGTAATATGGATAGCAAACTCACATATAACAGAATAATACAAAAGTATTTGCTGTAGCTGATGCTAGTATTTTGATGTAGACTTCAACTAAACCTTTAAAACCTATATATTTATGATTTTAGGATGAAGAATGTTTACGACCTGGTGAACCTTCCGATGAAACTTTCTTAGAAAAATTATCAGAAACTATTGGACAACATCCACATTTCGTTAGTCATAAAATAGCTAGTTCTAGTACCAGAAAAACTATACAAAGAGATGTAAGTTAGTTGTGATTAAACTGTTGTGTATGTTGTTGTCAACTGTAATGAGACCAATGTGGTACTAGTAAGACATTTTTCGCCTTGGAAATTTAAATAATGGCATTCTTTGGCAAATATATTAAACCTTCTGGGATAAACTAACATCCTGCAAAAACAGTGATTATTAATTGGGTCCAGTAACGTGTCCGTTTAAACATATTACAATATTATTGTCATGTATTTAAGAGATAAATTTCACTCATTCAAGTTCGTGTATTTTACTGAAAGCAGGATATTTGGATCATAGTTGCAGACAGTATCCTGCACATATGTGCTAAAAGTATTTAATAATAATAATGTTTTTTTTACTGTTAGGAGTTTCGATTGATTCATTATGCCGGAGATGTGACTTATAATGTTAAAGGCTTTTTGGATAAAAACAATGATCTGTTATTCCGTGATCTTAAAGAGGTAAGTCAATTTCTGCATTTCTCCATCAGTTGCATTGCAAAATCTAATTGCCAGCCCTATTCTTCTTTAGTTCTTTCTGTTCACAGTATATTTCATACCATTATGGTCTGAGTTTTTTTTAAACTTGTTGACATTGATTTGATAGTTAGCATCATTGCTGCTGGTGAGTATATTAATACTAGTGGGCCAGATAAAACACTCATCATCCATACATCGGATGATGTATTTCAAAAACTCAGATCAAATAGCCTTGAAATACTATTCAAATGTGATTATTTGTATGATCACTAATCTATACATCTAAAAACACAACTAACAAAATTTTATATTCAGATTAATTATTCAATGATAATGTATATAATCTGAATTCTACTCTTCAAGTGGGACATCACAGTAAATTTCTGTTGATTACTTATAAAGTTTTCTTTACTTCTCCCGACGAGCCAGCAATGGAATTTAATTCCTTGTATCTTCTCTAGGTCGTCATTAAGCATCCTTGCTTTCACTTGCCTTGTGGGTTCCACTCCAGTGCCTGCCTTGTAATGCAATCTTTAATAAATTTGTCTTTGACTTTCTGGTTTGTTCTTTCCCCACATTTCCTGTTTGGTAATTTTATATGCAGGGTCATTCGGAAACGAGTGTTGATGAATATCTGTAGTTTGTATTCAGTGCTATTTGTTTGACTCCGTGGATCCGTCTCATAAAGTAATATAGACGTGAATATTTTTGTCTTCAGAAAGATGTTGATGTTTCTATACACTGGTTGTACTATTGTCAGCCCTATACACATGTTCATATTCTGTTTGAATTATAGAATAGCTAGATAAATATATATGGTAACCATTTCAATGAATTTTACAGGCTATGAGTCAGACAACTAATTTAATTACATCCGAATGTTTCCCATCAGAAGAATTACAGAGTAAAAAACGACCAGAAACTGTAAGTTATAAAACATCTTTTGCATTTTTGTCGTAGATAATATCAATTGTGGTAAGATTTATTATGCCTGTTCTCATATTCCGCTACTTCACAGACCTGTTTCTATTTCTAAAAGTAAAAAAGATCTAAATTGATTGACACTCATTCATATGTCAACAGCATGAATTAAACTATGATGAAATAAATGTAGAACCTTAAAATGTGATGTTTGTGATAAGTTATTTAGCCACATGAAAATTCTTGGAAAAATAAAAACACAAAAATATAAGCCTCCCTGAGATGTTTTTGGAGGACTGTCTAGATTATTTTTTTGTACAACCCAAATATCAATTGTATTAAGTATCTATCACTGAACAAGTTTGTTGCCGGGGATACTGTTTTTTGATATTTTTCACAGATCGGTTCCTGCTCGTCCCCGGATGTATCACTGAGATCCAGACATGCCTTCGCTGTTTCAGGGAATCTTCCGCCCTCCTTTATCGTCCTTCTCTTGGATTATAATTGTTTTAAATATTACATCACAATCTGCTTTTGTTAGTTAGTGATTAACATTATCACACATTTATATATGGAATCAGTTAAAACAGAAATATGAAAATATGCTAGTGTGAACAAGAATTTTTGCTCTCAGGTTTTAAGATTTTTGGCTTGAAATATCAATATTATCACTAATTGTTAATAGGTCTATGTAAACAAACTTCTAAATAATTTTTGTAGTAATTCTTGTAGAATTCACCAAAAATGCTAATTCAGTATTGTGTCTAATATATTGTAAACAATATTTCAGAATTATGCATTGTTAGTAAATCTTGGTCAATTTATGTAATTCTATAGAATCTAGACATTTATTCAACATTTGGAAACATTGATTTGTTATTTCAGGCAGCTACCCAGTTTAAAACTAGTTTATCAATGTTAATGGATATATTAATGTCTAAAGAACCATCTTATGTACGATGTATTAAACCTAATGAATATAAACGAGCAGGTACATTTCTAGTAATATCCTCTTCAGTAGTATGTCATAATATACAACTATACAACACGTTTCATATGTTAAATACATTGACTTAATTATATGTTGTTATTTCTACAGTCCAGACATCATAAAATGCCATTCAAGAGATGACCAATATCATGATCAGTCACATTCTTGCCTCTCTCTTGAAAAAAATTGTTATTTTTTTTCATTTTGAGTACAGTCTGTATCACTACAGTCCCGGGACTGTACAGCACAGTGGAAACTTACGATTTACCCCAGATCCATTCACGTGATTCGATATTTGTTGTTTATTGCTAGCAGTATCTGTGTAGTTAGTGCCACATCCGCATGTTTGTCTTTTTGGTTCTGTTTGCATGTAGTGAAGTCCTCCTGCACTTACTATTAAGGTAGGGAAAAATAGTTGTTTGTCTGACAAATAACAACTGAGAAATCAACCAATAAAGAGAGGAATTCTAATTGCCTTGATCGACTACTTAATCAATGTGATTGCCTTTTTATTTTAATCCTGAAAACAATTCATGGCTTCTCTTTTGTCAAGAAATTTTAATTTCCTTAATGTCATTTAAAAACAAGACATTGCTGTCACCTACACTATGTAACACCCCAAGTCAAGTTTTAATAATATTGCCATTTATCAATCTAGTTGATTATTACATGTTGATTAAAGAAATCAATCAAATTGTCAGATAATCCTTGTCAGTCTTACTTTTGTGAGAATCAGCTATGTGGTAAATGCAGCCCCATTCAGTTCACGGTCCAAGTAATTAGTACATTTAACAAGAAGATCTGATAATATGTGGATGTCTGCTATATCTTTGATTTTAAAATTTATCATTGCAATGTTATTGAAAAATATTTGATGTGAAATATTATAAAATTTCAGGTGTTTTTGATGAAAGAATTGTAACCCATCAAGTTAAATATCTTGGTTTAATGGAGAACTTACGTGTTAGAAGAGCGGGATTTGCTTATAGACGACCTTATGAAGTATTTCTACGCAGGTATGTCAACTTGTATACTTTGAAATCAATAAGTATATTGAATTATAGATAGGTACTTGCATTCAGCATTCAGTGGATTTTGGCTTTGCTTTGGGAATGATCACATTAATTCGTCTTTTGTAAATGCTTCCTCAGTTGAGGGTATAGTTAAGGGGAGACAATCTAATTGTGGTCTTTAACCCGTTGAGCATGTAGTTTTTAAAACGTTAACTACCCCCTATTGTGTAATTAATTTGACGAAAAACGTCATTTTTGAACCTTTTTATTCCTGAATACAAATGATAGTAGTCCGAATCCATATTAAAACTAACGGTAAACGGAGTCCCTTCCCTTTAATTATAAAGCATATCACCAGCAGCTCCATCATTATCACTACTACTGGCACTAAGATCGCCAGGTGTAGCACTTTGGCCCTTGAGACATTTTTGGGTCTTTATAAAATTGTCTCTTCAATTTTGTCTATAAAGTCAAATCACACGTACTTAATGAACGTGGATATAGTTATTCGTAAAAAAACAGTGATATTTTGGTCAAATTATAATCATTGTCAAATAGTCATCAAATTCTAGCTGTTTATTGACCTATGGTTGATAGACCAAAAGTAGGTAATGTTTCCTATCTTATTTATGGAAAATAAAGAGTTTTATTCCTTATATGGCGTGGAAATTAACGTCAAGGTTATCGAAGACCTGCAGTAATTAGGGGGTATAAATTAGGGTGTAGAGGCGAGCTGGATTAGAGCTCACCCAGAAATTCCTACCAGTCATTACTATTGAGAACGAGGAACCTGCAAAGTTATTGCCAGTTTACCAATAAAGCTGTGAAATCATTGTTGCTGTAGTATTATTTTCGATCACAAGGAACACAACAAATAAAAAAAGTCTGTAGTACTACAGTAGATCATCACCCTCAGGCTCAGATTCAGTGTCTATATCACTAGCGTTTATCAAATACGCCTCATCCCGATCATCAGTGTCGTCTTGCAAATGTTCAGGCAAAGATATCCTCGACCAGACGTAACCAACGCACTCAGGAGAGCCATTATACACATGCTGCGATCGTGGGGGAATCCCCACCACGTGACGAACTATGTTCTAGGAATAGGTTGGGGAAAATACTTCCAAGACGTTATATTACGTCCTACACACAGTGAGTGGCAGTTGTCCAGGACGTTATATAAAGCCCTACACACTTAACAGGTTAAACAGTCTTAAGAAAACATACAAGAATATTCCAGAAATAAACCTCACTGGAAATCATTTTATTAATCCATTAATCGATATTACAGATATAAGTGCCTCTGTCCATCAACATGGCCCCATTACCATGGTTTACCTAAAGAGGGAACAGCAGAATTAGTTAATTATTTGAACTATCAACAAGATGATTTCCGTATGGGAAAGTAAGTACAAACAAATTATTCAAAATACAAACCTAGGATTCTCCTGAAATAAATCAATGAGAATCTTTTAAAAACAACTTATATTCTCAAATTATCTCATCCTCGAACTAGCTGTTATCCTGTTTGTAGTTATTTACTATTCTAAGAACTAGGTTACGCTTTATTTACTAGTTGAAGTCTTGAGGACATGAAATCTTCATGTGAATCCAATTCAAATTTCCAATTTGAAAAATTATTTGAATGTTTGATTTTATGTCAACATTAAAATATCATTTATAAATGCTTGTTCAATTATATATTTTTCAAGAAGGAAAAGAAATATTATATTTTTTTTCAGGACAAAGTTATTTATCCGATTTCCTCGAGTTTTATTTGCAACAGAAGATGCCTTTCAATTAAAGAAACATGATTTAGGTGAGCTAAGTATATAATTATTTTCTTTCAAATTGACCTATCTATTATTAACCCTTTCAACACAAGTGGCTCTGACGTTGTAGTGCCCACAGTAATAGTGACCAGTTCTCTAGCTGCAAACTAAGCTTGTTTAAATCCAGACAACATCTGTGGGTACTACGTTCAGAAACTTGGCTGTCAATGGGATAAGAAGATATAGGGTAATTTTTGAAAGCTGTGGAGTAAAATAAAATTTTGTATAGACCATCCACTTTTATAACTGGGAACTGCAGTGACTCAGTGAGTAAGGAGCTGTCTTTCTAACCTGGAGGTCCCAATTTTTTTCCCATTGTTGGCCGTAGAAGTTCATGGAATCATGAAAGGACAAAACCCTATTAATAGGTAGCTCTCCGAGACTTCCGTTTCAGAGTTAACCATTCTTTTCCAAAAACCTTGTTAACATGATAGAGGCTACAAATTTTTTCAAGCCTGTGATCATGATAGAATCAGATTTCCGACAAGGAAACTTTGATATTATTAAATTTGGTGATCATCAGATATTTTCATGCTTTGCTTGCCTGTCCTTTTTTGTTTGAAAGCGTTTTTTTTTTTTTTTTTGATTAACTCTTTACCAATATTTTATTAAATTTTTTTCAGCAACTCAAATCCAATCCCAGTACAGAGGATTTACACAAAGAAAGAAATTTTTACACATGAGGTTGTCAGGTATGATGATGTGGATTTTATCTAAATTAACTATCTCCATGTAAGGAGAATATTGAACTAGTGAAAAGAAAGTTTTTTTAATTTTTCAATTAAGATGTTTACTGATATAAGGAATGTTTTTCTACATAATATGGTCTATCAAGATTGTGAATATGTCTTTTTAGAACAAAGAAAATAAAAACTAATTATTACTTCCTTCAGTGCACATTTATCTTTCATCTGAAATGCACATAATAGTCAGGAAATATCCTGACTAAAAGCAATTTGTTTTGATTCAATTTACAGCTATTATTGTTCAGTGTCATTGGAGAAGATATGCTGCTAAGAAATTATTGGAAAAACGCAAGAAAGCTGCTCAAGATGTCAGAAAGTAAATTAAACCTTTCTATTATAATGTTTTATCAAATTTAAATTTAATTGACAATTGGATGATATTTTAATACAAATAAGTGAATAGTGAAAAAAAAAATAACCTTGTTACATTGACATTAGAGTATTTTTTTTTTATCATGAAAGTGACCACTTTGATTTGAACACCATAGTCCACATACATTTCTTGAATATTTTTCATTTCTCTGTTTTATTTGGGGAATATGTATCGAATTATGTCATTTGTTTTGTTTATATCTTTCTGCCCAGTTCTCTTGCATTGTCTTTTAGAATATTTAAATGATATTGGAATAAATATGTTATTGTAGGAGTTTATATTTGTGTATACAGGTTTATCATAGGCTTTATGAACAGAAAGAAACCTGCCTGTGATGAAAACCAACATTTTATTAAATACACCAAGTGGAATTTCCTTGAAAAGCTCAAAAATGAATTGCCAAAGAATGTTTTAAACAAGAAATGGCCCAAAGCACCAGAACTTTTGGAAGAGGTAACCTTGAAATTTTTTTTTCCTTTTTGTTATAAGCCCAATTGAGATAAAAATATGATTTTGGCGATAAAATAGCGCCATACACATGGGAGGGGTTCATTGTCAAATTTGACACTTCAAGGAAGGGTTGATGAAAACTGCCGCTTGCTGGTTTATCCTATCCATGTTTGATTTCCTATCGGTTCTTGCATAAGATTTACTGTTTAGCATATCTTTGGTTTAGTGTGTTACGTTTAATTTGATCAGGAGATGTGTTCGTCAACGTCAACCGACAACACTGCAAGAATTGGCCGTGGCACTGCAAGAGGAGTGGGTCAGATTGCCCCAAATCGTGATTAGAGGGTTGATTAGGAGCATGCCACAACAAATTGGTGAATGTCTGAGGATTGGTGGAGCAATTACTCATTATTAAGACAAAAATCAAAAACGTCCATTTTCACTTTTGACAGTGTATCTCTTTGCAAGTGAAATGGGGCTGTCAGATAAGCCGCCCATATGAACTGTTTATGTTCATCTGTAGGCAATTGGCCTGTTATTAACATTTACTGGTTACCTCTAATATAAACAGTAGATTATATAAGTATGCCACCACCAAATGCTCCAGCCTAATGATGATACTCTTGTTCATCTGATGATATTATATTCTTGTATGTTGAAGTGATTTTCACTTAAACAATAGGTCTAGGCCTACCTCAAAAGTCCGCGTCAGAGAAAAATTTCGAAAAGCGTAAAATTTTAAGTGTATTTGGAAAAGTTCGATCTTTTAGGGATGAATGGCAATTTTCAAATCCTTGGTTAAGGTTTGTTACAAATTCATTCAAAACTGGTTGTAGTGTACTAAAAAAGCGTTCAAAAAATGGTCCTCTGCAAAGCAAACAAGAATTTTGTAAATTGTAACATAATAATTTTATGTACCGGTATTTACATTGAAAGTAAAATTACTGGAAAAACCTAATAGATATTATTTTTTTGGGGTGGAAAAATATATGATTAATGAATTAAAATAAAAAATTGGCTGAAAAAAATGGAACCAAGAGTGAGCACTGTATACGGCCACATTTTCATGTGGACGTATATTGTCATCGCCCTTGTCCATCCGGACTTCAGATTGTCTATTCACAGTTTGTTTGTGGACACTCTACAGGTAACAATTTTTGGTTTATCTCCCAAAATTCAAAATTGGCATGTATTGGACCATAACTTCATGGATTATGTCCCCTGATTGTACGATAAATCACGTTTTTAGCTTGTGGACATTCTAGAGCTCACAATTGTTATCCAATTTTGATGAAACTTGAAATACATGTTTATAACCCAAAGATCTTGGTTCCTTTCGATATTTGTGCATCTTGGTTCCTTTCGATATTCATGCATATCAGATCATAACTTCCTGGATTATGGCCTTTGATTGTATGGAAAATAAAGTGAAATGTACTTTTGTAACCCAAAGATATCGGTTCCTTCGCACATTTCGGACAGTAACTTCTTGGATTATGGCCCTGATTGTTCGAAAAATCTCCATCTCTTGCAAAATGTGGGCGTATCTTGCATGGTATGTGCTGGTTTCACTTAAAGTTATGTATTTTTATACCCCCGCTTTTAAAGTTTTCACTTTTTAAATCTTGGGAATGAGATGCAGTTTCCTGTCTGGGCATGCTAGGAGGCCTGATATTCACTGTCTATATTTAGAATGTTGTGGGACAATATTTTTCACGAATGTCTTCTACAACTCACAAAAACAGAAATAAGTGCGAAGGCCATTTTGCGTTGGGCTAAATAGTTTTCTGGAACAGGAGAATCAAGATTCTCTTTAAAGTTCTTATTTTTGTTGTTTTTTGGAGATTTAGGGTTATTTTTTATTGGGAAAATAAAAGGAGAAAGTGTTTTCCATTTTTTTGTTTTTGTTTTTCTCCAGACATCAAATGATCTACATAAACTGTGTATGAAGAATTTAGTATTGAAATATATCAAGAACTTGAAACCTGCCAAAAAAATACAGGTAAATATTTTACACCTAAGTGACAATATAAAATACATTATCTGTATATGTTTTGTTCTGATTCATCTGATGGTGACCTGATATATTAACAGTGTGTACATCTCAAAATGGCGGGTTAGATTTAATTTTCAAATGAACAAGCATTGTCTTGAACATTAAAAAAAGATAGGGTCTTGTCTGTCTGAACTTTATGACGTAAAGAAGAAATTTTATAATAAATATGTTTTATAATTGTAGTTGGAACAGAAAGTGATAGCAGAAAGGTTATTTAAAGGGAAGAAAGAATCCTATAAATTCAGCATAAAGGAACCATTTATTGACAGTCGACTTGGTAAGATAAACCTTGTACATCCTGGTATCAGTTATAAATGAAATGGTTGTCCGGTATCATAGCTAAGAATTTTATTTCCCCACATGGTTCAAAATGAGTCATTGCTGGCATTACTAGAATTGTTAAACCAAAATATGTCAATACTGTGTTACCATATTTCTCTATAAACTATTTGTAGATTACCAAATAAAAGTTATACACAAAGTTTTGATAGTCAATAATGAATCAGTTTCTAAATAGCAGGTGTACTAATGAAAATTTCCTAAATGTTCAAGATTGATTATAATGCATATAATGTTTAAAGGATTCCATAACATACCAATCAGAACAAATCGTAAAATTGGGAAACTCTTGACAAATATGTATTACAGAAACTTTTGGGGGTCCGTTACTTTCATCTTTTATCTGATTCCATTTCAGCTGCCCACCATGAAGCCTTGAAAAACAGTGTATTTGATGCGACTGTTAAACAGTTAGACGAGAAAGTTATTGTAAGTACTGATTTTGCATTTGACATCTTCTTGTAAATTGTAAATTACTGTAGCAAACTCACAAGTTGTTTCAGTTACTTAGTATGCTTTCACTAAAAATAATGCAAGAAGTTGCTCCTTTTTTTTCGTGGAAAACAAGACTTATAGTCCACATTTACATATACTGATGAAGGCACGACAATTGACATGTGAAAAAAACATGTCGCAGAACCTATTGCTCTATTTCTCCATTGGGTGACATCAACTGCTAAATAGCACTTGCACGACAAAGTCAAACCACTACCTTTTCGTAATACACCTCGACATAGGTAATAGCTTGCTTAAGTTTTATTTAAAAACACTACCCCCATTCAAAATTTAACCAGAAAGTCCAGTAAATGCATTCAAAATAGGCCCCTTTTTCCAACTCCAAACACGTTTCCTGTTTGCTAATTTCTCATTTTACTTTCCCAGATTTCCACTTTGGTTTAGTTCAGTTAACCAAACAAAACAATTTTACTTTGAAAAAAAAAACAGAATGTTGTAATTACTTTCTAATTGACCAATCAATATGGGCCTTATATTTATTCTATTCTTAGTAAAAGGCTATGAAATAAAAATTTCTTCAAATGAACAAAGAACAAAAATTGGAAAATTCGCCTACTCAAGTTATAGTTGTACATATAGATGGGAGTCACAGTGGCTCAGTGAATAATACTCTATATGAACTTATATATACCCTAAAATGCAGTAATTTGTATACATTCCTAAAGTACAATGATTTGTATACATTCTGTACATGGAGTGGACCAGATGATTGGCACCTGGAACCACACTCTCAGAAAAGCCTGGCACAATCCATCAGCTGTGTTTAGACTCTGTACGACTTTATTAAGTCTCCTCTGAATTTCATCCCAAAGATGTTCAATCAGGTTTAAGTCCAGACTAAGGGCTGGCCAGAGCATAACGTTGACACCATTCTACTGTAGAAAGTCCCAAGTAACTCTGGCGGTGTGGGCATGGGCGTTGTCATGCTGGAAAACGTTGTTTCGATGACGTGCGAAATGTGGTATGACATGGGGTCTGAGAGCTTGATCGATGTAGCGCACTGCTGTGATGCCACCTCTTCTCCTTGGACCAAGATTTTAGAACACCACAGGACCCACTCTCTCGTTTAGGCCAATTCCACCCATCTGAAGGTGCTGTCGCACAACAAGGCGGTCTTGTCGCCTTGTGGTAACCCTTGGTCTACCAGTTTATAATCACTCTTATTGGATTTATATATAGTCCGACAAAGGAGAGGCAATGACTTCTATTCAGGATTGGATTGATGAATTGTCCGACAAAGGATTAAGTCAGCCAATCAAGGCAGATTAAGTAGTTAATCAAGGTAGGTGTATAGACGGTATAACACAATAAATACGTTGATCACTTAATTACCTAATCAATCCCACCTATTATCAACAATAATCGGGTTGGGTGGTAGTTATACACTCAGTACACTATATTAATTTTGGAATTTTGAGTATTATTCACCATGTATTGATGTCCGATTGGGCATTTTTCATGTCGGACAATTTAGGACATTTGGAAAATAGCGTTGGACATGTCCGGAATATACAGGCAAAATCCCATCAGTGATCTAGACTCAAACCAGGTATTGTAAACAAATATTGAGGTCATCCTTTCCATCTTTGCTTAAACATGAACATAGCAATCTTTTTTTTTTTTAGCATAAAATGTGTTTTCACAAACTGGTAAATCTGAATCATCAAATATGGCCTAACTATCAGTCTTGCACTAAGGAAGTAACTGTCATGTTGCCTAGCAACTGATAGAGATTTGATATGCACAGTAATTATGATCTAACTAACTGTTATCGTCAGTGATTTTCCATTATCCACAAATAATCAGAAATATGCCAGGCATACAAATGAGTTGTTATATGTTGTTGGCAGTATGTTTGACCCTTTCAAATAAATATAGTTTTGCAACAAAAATGCATAATGCAATAGACTGTCAGCCATATGTTTAAGAGACCGCTGGGTGTATTGTTAATTAAGAGTGATCATGTTGTGTGATAAAATCTGTAAAGTGTGCACTGTATTTGTAGCCTAATAAATTATCACTGGCATATATTAGGCTGTCGTTTAAAAGTAATCCTAGTAGTGGTAGGCTTTTAATTTTCAGTCTTCCTCTGTTAATTTTGCCTAGCAACCTGATCCAAAACGTGATAATGAAATTAAAATATATATGATCTGTTAATTTTGAATATATATTTTCTATTATCTACATGAAATCTAGTCAATAATTACATCAAAAATACTTATTAATGTTTACAAGGACATCTTTGGGGAAACAATCTTTGGTTTCATTACCAGGAAAGATATTCATTGTTTGATTTTGATTGAAAGAAACCAAATTATTATAAGAAGCCACACAATAAAACCAGCTGAAACGAAAATTCTTATTTAATCAAGAAATAAAATATTGACATGAAATGTAGATATTGTGTGGCGGTTTTAAAGAAGATTAATAAATATTTCTTATGGGGCGCCGTTTGTAAATTAATTATTTAGCTTTTTATATAGCAAAAAACACTAGATTTAATTTAAATTTATATATATAGTTAAATCTCGACTTTTGTGCAAATTTTTCACTTTTAATATTTAAACTAAAAATAAAACAAAAATTCAATATTTAACATAATATATATAAATATTTCTTGATTTGTCTCTATTTTCATATTTAACATTTAGCATTGAATATTAAGACCAAAACAAGAGATTTGATGATATATAAATATTTAGTTAAATATTTAGTTAAATGTTTAAACATTTAGCTAAATATATATTTAGTTAAATGTTAAAATATATAGTTAAACATTTATATATTTAGCTAAATAATATATATTTAACTAAATATTTATATATTTAACTAAATAATTATATATTTAACTAAATAATTATATATTTAGCTAAACATATAGTTAAATTTACAAAGCGCAACCGCACCACGCCGTTTGTAAAATAATTATTGTTGTAAGTGACTTCACACTAAACAATGACATAGTGTACAACTTTCCATTGACTGCACAACACAGTACTATTTAGTACCTGAATGCTATATTTAGCATGATATTTATATATTTAGTTAACTGTTTATATATTTAACTAAATATATTTCTTTAGTTAAATGTTTATATATTTAGTTAAATGTTTATATATTTAACTAAATATATATACTTAGCTAAATGTTTATATATTTAGCTAAATGTTTATATATTTAGCTAAATGTTTATATATTTTGCTAAATGCTTATATATTTAGCTAGATGTTTATATATTTAGCTAAATGTTTATATATTTAGCTAAATGTTTATATATTTAGCTAAATGTTTATATATTTAGCTAAATGTTTATATATTTAGCTAAATGTTTATATATTTAGCTAAATATTTAACTTTAATTTTTCAGTGATTTAGTATTTAGCATTTATACCTAGGAAAAACAGCACATTTAGCTATATATTTAACTAAGCGATGTGAAATCAAGATATAACATTTAAAGTTTTTCATAGACCAAAAACTCGACTTTTAGCTACTATATTTTTTGATGTTTACATATATGCCATTTTTGTTCTAATATTTATCTAAATATATATATTCGGAGTTAAATCTAATGCTTTTTGCTATAAAAAAAATTAAATAATTATTTTACAAATGGCGCCCCATAGTCAATAAGTTCATAGAAGTTCATAGTTGTGATATTGATTTTATTTGTCCCCTGCCTTTCGAAGAAAGCAGGGGACTATTAAAATGGGTTCGTCTGTCTGTCTGTCTGTCTGCCGTCCGTCCGTCCGTCCGTCTGTCTGTCACAATTTTTGGCACACAATAACTGTCTTTCTAATTGAGCTACAATGTTCAAACTTGGTGTAGGTGTTTATTAGGTCAATACCTTGATGGAGTTCGAAGATGAACATTTTCGGCATAGGGTAAGCAGAGATAAGCAATTTGATTGGTTGATGCTTTGGGACACGATAACTTTATTCTAATTAAGTGAGAATGATGAAACTTGGTGTATAGTTTTATTACATCAATACCTTGACTAAGTTCGATAATGAGCATTTTTTGCTCAGGGTAAGCAGAGTGATGAGCAATTTGATTGGTCGAAACCTTGGAACACAATAACTCTCCTTCTAATTGAGCTACGATCTTCAAACTTGGTGTAGGTGTTTATTACGTCAATGCCTTGATGGCGTTCGAAGATGAGCATTTTCTGCTTAGGGTAAGCAGATATAAGCAATTTGATTGGTTGATGCTTTTGGACACGATAACTTTAGTTCTAATTAAGTGAGAGTGATGAAACTTGGTGTATAATTTCATTACATCAACACTTGACTAAGTTTGATAATGAGCATTTTCTGCTCAGAGTAAGCAGAGCGATAAGCAATTTGATTGGTCGTGACTTTGGAACACAATAACTTTCATTCTAATTGAGTTGGAATGTTCAAACTTAGTGTAGGTGTTTATTAGGTGAATGCCTTGATGGAGTTCGAAGATGAGCTTGGGTAGCAGAGATAAGCTATTCGATTGGTTGATACTTTGGGACACGATAACTTTGGCTCTAATTAATTGAGAGTGATAAAACTTTGTGTATAGTTTTATGACAAAATCAATACCTTTACTAAGTTTGATAATCAGTATTTCCTGCTCAGGGTAAGCAGAGCGATAAGCAATTTGATTGGCTAAGCAATTTCATTGGTTGCTGCTTTGGAACAAGATAACTTTGATTCTAACTGATCGAAAGTAATGAAACTTAAGTGTATAGTTTCACTACCAGCTACTTAAAAACCTTGACTGAGTTTGATTGTTAACATTTTATGTGTCATCTATTTATTTTGGGATTTTATCGGGGGACATCAGCCTCATACTGTGGCATTTTGGTAATTAAATTGTTTAGATTTTGATACCAATAACATAATGCAACATGCTATGTATTTATTTAAAACTTTTGTAGTATTGTTCAGCAGTTACCAAATATGATCGTCATGGTTACAAGTCCAGAAACAGAGTGATGATAGTAACAGAAAAAAATATTTATGTTTTGAATGAAAAAGATTTTAAAGTAAAAGATAAACTCCCTTTCCAGCATCTTAGTGGTAGGTACAAAAACTGCAAATATGCACCCAGATACAGTGCATTTTTCGTAATGGTCATCTAATGAATGCATTGGAATACCAATTTAATCTTAAGTTTGGTGTCAAATGGTTTAATTGTAAGAAAATGATATATTGAAATAAATGTCATGCAAATTAAGCGACATTCCCTTAGAGGTGTAAATTTATTGTAGACATTACAACAGAGTGACTCCAACCTCATGGGTTTTCTCTGGGTCTTCCAGTTTTAACCCACTGCTAAAGACCCCTATGCGCAAGCGAATTATTGAAATAAAATTGAACCATATGTTAGTCTTGAAATGACCTAGTTTGTGTTGAGTAGATGTTAAATCTCTCTCTCTCTCTCTCTCTCTCTCTCTCTCTCTCCCTCTCTCTCTCTCCTCTTTCTCAGGGGGATCACTGTGGCTAAATAGGTAAGATGCCGGCTCGCTATCCTGGAGGTCAGGTATTCAATCCCTGCATTGGCCGAGAAAGTTCATCCAGATTTTCCGGCGTGATTCCCCCTTGTCAGTGATGCAGGACGGAGGGCCTGACAAGAACAGCTGTCTAGTCGTTTAAATGGGACGAAAAAACGAGGTCCCATGTACACATTGGCGTGCACGTTAAAGATCCCTTGACAGTTGGAATTAGATATTAGAGTAGGCCGTAGTGCCACTGTCTGGGCAAAATTTCCCTCATAGCACACTGTATGGCGTATGCCCTGTTCATTAGCCCAGTTTGGAGAATTAAACCCCATTTCATTTCTCTCTCTCAATAATGGAGTGGCACTGACACCTTAAGTGATTCCTAATGTTTATCCAGATATTGGTAAGGTCAATCCAATCAATCTTTTATGCCTTACATAAAATTAAAACTATTTTATACATTTATTGTAGGCATTATTGTTAGTCCATATACAGATGGTTTATTTGTATTGACAGTTAACATAACAGACAATGGAAGCAAGGTAAATTTATGCATGACATAATTAGCCACAGAAAGCTGTCTTAATTAATGATAACATTTAAAGGGCATGTGTTATTTGGACTGTATCATACATTTTAATGATAACATGCAAAAGCGCTTGCATTATGTATTGTTTAATGGTCGAGAGCGAGACATTAAGTAATATATTGTAACAACAAGAGGACCGTCAGGTTCGAGTGTTTTTACAATATATTACGCAATGTCTCAGCTCGAGACCATTAAACATCTTAAAATACAGACACTCCGCACGTGCGTTTAAAGTGAAATACGTCACTCGAGTCTAATATTTGACAAGGTACGATTGGCAAGTTGCCCGTACGATTATTTGAAATAATGGTACGCCAACATCAAAGGGTGATGTCACATCTGTATTTTAATTAATGATAACATTCAAAGAACTGTCTTATTTAATGGTAACACTTAAGGCACACAAAATAAATATCTTGTTTCTCGGGCAACTTACAGCTGAAAATGTAGCACTGAACACTGACTGAAAGGAAAATTTAATTAAAAATATTATATAAATACCGATATCTTAAATAAAGGTTACAATGACTATTTGTCAATCCCAAGGCTACATGTAAACATGTATACCGCCTTTCTCAATTTAAATGGAAATCAATAAAGATATTACCATGGCTGCCGACAACCAGTATCGCAGCGCAATTTGCTATACATATTTTGTCCGTTGCTAATCAAAAATTAAAATCTTAACGTTTTTGATTGGATATTGACATGAAGATATATCCACATTTTGAAGACTAGAGGGCTTTCTCAACACTTTCAACGTGTATAAAATGTCAAATAAAATGTTATAAACAAAACCAAATTTTCCGTCTTGACAGTTTCTTCTCGAATTACCCAGACACAATTCATTATACTATATAATACAGGGACATAACTCTATGAATTGGGACTATTAAACCGGAAATAGGGAATCAAGTAGTACCACTCATGTTGCGAGACATGTCAATTTTGAGTAATTATATCAGTATTCAATTTGAAAAAACAAATTCAGTGTATGCCCCACGTATTGTAAATAAACTATACAAAATAAATACATGTAAACGACTTAAAAAGTATTGCAAAATGAAAAATCAATGTAATAATTCCCATAAAATATTATTGTTTATATCGCGTGCGTCTATAGATAGAGATTATTCGAAAAATACTGTGAGCATCCGATTGAACAAAAATAGTAACACACGATAAAAAGCAGACGAAATTGTTTTCTAACGAAGAAATAAGAATTAAAATGAGTGGGACTTCGGAAGCCACTGCCAAGAATTGGCTTCAGACATGAGACCAAATCAAAAGTCTACATTCAGAAATGGTCACAGCTACCTGTAGCATGCTAAAATTCTAAAAAAAAAATCTTAAAAATGAAATATAATCATTTGTTATAATCATCTGTGAAAAATTACCGACAGCCCTGGACATGACAATCAAAAAGTGGTACATATTATGTGGTAAATTGTAGACTTAAAAGTCATCCGGAATTACATGTGAGACCATGATTTCCATTAAGCATGCACATAAGAGTGGGTCGTACCATCCAAGAACCTTTTACAAACGTTTTCGTTACAATCCTGTTTTCACAAAATGACAACTTCTCCTAGACAGATTTTTTCATACAATTACATCCAATCATATTTCACTGAAGTTATGCATTCAGTAAAGTCTGTTTCTAACTAACACCTCGGTAATATGCATTTAACTTTGTTGTCAATTAGTTTCTGTGTGGACGTATCAACTTCTATTTCATCAGGAGAGCTAATCAATATCACATGATTTAAATATGGAGGTTTTTTCATTACCGATAATAAAGACCCGTAAATAAGTATTTTTATCTAAATCATTTTAATACACTTAAATGGACATACATGTATGACGAATGTAGGTCCATGCAGCATATTTTTGTTTTTATTATATCAATAAAAAGACTGCAACCATTTTTGGGTGCCGGCAGTGCCCCAGAAACAACTTATTTTATTTGTGTTGCCTAAAGGAACATGTCTTATTTAAGGGTGGCCAAATGGTTAACACATGCGCGTTGCATCATAAGGTCTGTCATTGAGTCTGGTGTCGATTCCCCACTTGTACCTGACAAGGAGTAGGGTTTTCCTCCCACTGCTAAAGACCCCTACGCACAAGTGAATTATTGGAATAAAATTGAACCATGTTCCTCCTGAAATGACCTTTGTGTCGAGTGAACATTAAACCCTGTTTAACATTTAAAGAGCTTGTCTTATTTAATAACATTTACAGAGCTGTCTTATTTAATGATGACAATTCAAGAGCTTGTCTTATTTAATAACACTTACAGAGCTGTCTTATTTAAGAGCTTGTTTTATGTGCATTGTAACATACAATTTAATGATAACAATTATAGAGCTTGTTTTATTCAATAACTTTTCAAGGGTATGACTTATTTCAACAATCAATTTAAATTTAATAATAGTTCTTGAATTCCTACTTCTTTAAGGAATGATCACATAAAGCATCCACTCCTTGATTTTGTCATTCAATTAGATGGCTTCAACAGCTGAAGTTGAAGTTCAACCCATTTTCTTGGTCAAATGTCCATTCATAATAAATAAATAATAAAGCTGCTATTTCAAACTCAACATAACAGTGGAAATACAATAATCAAATGATTCACAACTATTTCTAATTGTACTCTTTATCTTATATACTCAACTCATCTTTTAATCATCTAATCAGAATTCATATCATTCAGTTTCCTCCAAATATTTATATGTTTGTAATGGTCTGTACTCATCAGTCATACTCTCATGTTTTCTGTTCATGTTTATATGGGAGCCATGGTGGCTAAATTGCTAAGACTCTGGCTCACTATCCTGGAGGTCCCGTGTTCGATCCCTGCATTGGCAGAGAAAGTTCATCGAGATTTTCCAGCGTGTTTCCCCCTTGTCAGTGGTGCAGGACGGAGGGCCTGGCAAGGACAGCTATCTAGTCGTTCAGATGGAATGAAAAGCTGAGGTCCTATGTATTCATTGGCGTGCACATAAAAGATCCCTTGACCGTTGGAATTCTATGTAAGAGTAGGCTATAGTGCCACTGCCAGGGCAAAATTTCCATCATAGCATACTTTATGGCATATGCCTGTCTTCATTAGCCCAGTCTGAGCAGAACAATAGGATGTTAAACCCCATTTCATTTCATTTCATGTTTAAATTTAAAGTCGGACGATGAATTAAATGAGGATGGTGAAAGTAAAAAGGTATTCAAGAATGTCTTTTATTTTTGGCTGATTTCATTTTTTACAGCTAGGAAAATGTATTATGTGATATTATTTCTGTACAGGAAAACAGGCATGTCTAAAATCTAGATTTCTTAATAAATCTGAAAATATATAGAAGCCAATGAAGTCAAAGGGTTGATCAGAAATGTAAATCTCAAAGGGGATCCAGTTATATAGTATTATTTAATGTATGAGTATAGCTTGGGTATTATCATCATGAAGTATGGGTTTTAGTAGTATGCATGGGGTCTCGTTTTGTTTTTTAATTCAATGACACAATTTCAAATTGTTATGGAACCGGGCATTTTCAAATCAATTTAATTATATGTGTTGTGTGTGTTTTCTGTCCTTTATTACTTAAGACTGGATCCAAAATTATTTTGTTGCTAGTTTAATTTGGTTGATATCAATATTGATGGTTAATTAAGCATGTTGAGCTTTTTGTATTGTTTGATTTCATTAGATAACGGTGGATGGTCATCACAATATATCTTATTGAATTAAAAGTCATTTACACACTTATTTTGTTGAAGGTAAATGTTATTTTGAGCAGTGGTCAATGCTGTTAATTGTGGGTGATATTTTTTAAAAAATAAAATGGAATTCACATACATTATATCATAGATTTAAATTCCGGGATGGCAATCTTAGAAGTCTTGTAACATAACTATAAACTTTTTTTTATGTTCATCATTCATTTCTATCAGTAATCAGATATTTATATTTGACTATAACATGGGTGTTGGTGCCAGTGGGTGTTTATATTTAAATTATATAATTTTAGGGTGATTTGATCCTACAGAGTGATTATGTGATAGAGGCAGTAACTAAGATTGCTATAGCTGGTCATAAACAAGATGTTGTCCAAGTAGCCACAGATGGAAAGTAAGTCAAATTATATATGAAATATGTAGATGATATTATTACTATTTAAAGGGACCATCCCGATTTTAACAGAGTCTCCGATATAGAGGAATGGGAAATTTGCCTTTTCTCAAAATTTCGGCTAAAAATATTGAGTCGTTTGGATATGAATGTCAAAACCGCTTATCCGGACATGTAACCTTTTTATATACTCTTCAAAAAAAAAGTAGGGGAAATTTGTCTTTTCTCAAAATTTCGGCTAAAAATATTGAGTCGTTTGGATATGAATGTCAAAACCGCTTATCCGGACATGTAACCTTTTTATATACTCTTAAAAAAAAAGTAGGGGATATTGAAATGCAAATACCTATGCAGGTTGTGATATGATAAATAGTCATGGACACTTGACATGCTTTGAAAGTATGTTCACAGATGAAGAACTTATCGCCCCAACAGAACCACTGAGATGCATGTGCGACATGCAATAGCACCATACACGTAGGAGGGGTTCATTGTCAAATTTGACACTTCAAGGAAGGGTTGACGAAAATTGCTGCTTGCTGGTTTATCCTATCCATGTTTGCTTTCCTATCGGTTCTTGCGTAAGATTTACTGTTTAGCGTATCTTTGCTTTAGTGTGTTACGTTTAATTTGATCGGGAGACGTGTTCGTCAACATCAACCGACAACACTGCAAGAATTGGCCGTGGCACTGCAAGAGGAGTGGGTCAGATTGCCCCAAATCGTGATTGGGCGGTTGATTAGGAGCATGCCACGACGAATTGCTGAATGTCTGAGGATTGGTGGAGCAATTACTCATTATTAAGACAAAAATCAAAAACATCCATTTTCACTTTTGACAGTGTATCTCTTTGTGAGTGAAATGGGGCCGTCAGATAAGCCACCTATATGAACTGTTTATGTTCATGTGTAGGCAATTCGACTGTTACTAACATACACTGGTTACCTCTAATAAGAACAGCAGTGCATTTCCACAGTTTTGTATTGTTTCTGAATATCCCCTACTTTTTTTTGAAGAGTATATGTCCACATTCATAATCAATGTGGATGTATATTGCCTTCGCCCCTTTCTGTGTGTCTGTGTCGCCAACAGGCCACAATTCTTAAGTGATCATCTTGAAACTTTAAATACTCATTCCTTATACCCTAAGGATGATCTCTATTGTTTCTGGTGCATGCCTGACCCCCAGGGGCAGAGCCACCTCCATTTCTTGTATTTGTTTGTTTGTCATCTACAGGCCACATTTCTTAACATATCATCTTGAAACTTTGCATTCCCAGTGAAGGGAATGGAGGACTGGGGAGATATGATTGAATGTTTTGTAGTTTTCTGATTTGATAGTCGGGAAGTCCATAGAGCAGAGCAATGTGGTAGTCTAGTTTTGTAGTGATGAAGGCATGGATGAGATTTTCTGTTATTGCTGGAGTAAGATATTTCTGTATTCAGGAGATCTGTTTAAGGTAGTGATAGGCAGATGAACATATTGACTGTATATGATACTTGAATGACAGGTTTTGGTCAATAGTAGCTCCAATATTCTTGGCTTTTAATTTTGGGAGAATTGTTTCTTCTTGAAGATGAATGTTTATTTCAGCGAATTTAGATAGTTGTTGTTTTGTTCAAAGAACCAAAAGTTAAGTTTTATCAGGATTCAATTTTAGAAAATATCTAGTGATCCTGTCATGTATTTCAGCCAGACCTTTCTCTGTATCTTTAACTGTCTGTATGCGAGAATTGGTATCAAAGCACAAGTATAACTGTTTGTCATCGGCAAACAAATGTATGGATAACCCGTGTTTCTCTGCTATTTTTGTTAATGATTTAGTAAAATATGATTAATAGTATGGGTCCTAAAACTGAGCCTTGTTTCACACCGCATAAAAGAGAGAGTTCACACAACTTATTCCCCTTGACATCTACAGTGACACTACGATTGATTAGATAGCTTTTGAACCCCAGTAATACCGTAGCGCAGAGACCAACCCTTGCCAGAGAGCATTAAGTAGGTCTTCACTATCTAACGTGTCGAATGCTGCCCTTAGGTCGAGTAGAAGGATTACAAACTGTTGGTTGTCTAAAGCTCGATAAATATTATTAGTGATCTATCAGGGTGGTTTCAGTGCTGTGGTATTGCTTATGCTGACTGAAGATGGTTCTTGAGGTTAAGTAAGACATATTTTGCAGATAAAACTTAAATTGCTTAAGGGTCTGTAGCTTTTTAAGGTAACCAGATCTAAGGATGGCTTTTTCAAAAGGGATCTGATGACTACTTTGCTATGGTCTTTCGAGCCCACCACTTTTGAGATGACTGGCTTTTAAAATTTTGGAGAAGAAAAAGATCAATATTGTCTTTTAGCGTTCAAGATATTAAGGGATCTAGTTCAAATGATTTAGGTTTCATAAAGAGGATAGGTTTTTTTAATTAGTCGAGTGGATATCATTTTGTGACAAATCTCAATAACCATTCACTATTTCTTCTAAAAACCTTCCACACACAACAAATTGGCGTCTATTACTATTTTCTAGAGTTACTGCCCCTGTCAACCCTATATATAGACATTTAAAAGTGTGCAGTAATTTTGTGCAGATTTATTGGTTGTGTGACTTAAAAACCTGAAGGTGTCTTTAGTGTTATTATTGCTGTATATTGATAGAAGAAAACAATCTTTATTACTTCATTGCTTGGGGACACGCGGCAAGGCATTTTACGACTCGCTCAACGATGAAGATACAACTTATGAAAGTTGTCTTGATGTGTTAGATAATTATTTTGGAGCAAGGTACAATGTTACTGTTGAACGCTGTAGATTTATGTCCCGTGCACAAAAGAATGGCGAAACTATTGATGAATATGTATCGGAACTAAGTCGACTTAGTGTAAACTGTGATTATCATGCAGGGATGCTTGTTCAAATGATTTGTGATGTACTCATTGAAAAACGAATAGTAAAACTATAAAGGAACATTTAATGATGGAAGGCAATGGCTTGACACTTGAGAATGCAATAACAATTGCCAGACAAATCGAACTTGCTACAGTTGAATGTCAATCTCTTCTATCGAGGCCAAATAATAATCACATGATGGATATTGTGCAAAGAATTAAAAGTATCGGTAACAGAAATTATCGCACATACAATAATAATAATAATGACCGCTGGAGTAATACCCAGTTTTCAAAGTCACATTACAATAATTTTTATGTGCCAAACAAAGTACAATTTCGATCCAATTACCAAGTTAGAGGACTAAGACCACAGTTTTTTTCAGCTAAGATTTCAGCCTCGTAATCCAGTTCGCACAGCAAATAATCAACAATTTCGACCCAGTTGTCAAATGCAAGGATTGCCAACCAAAACTAGACCTCCGCTCAATTTTAGTCAGACAAAACAACATTGTTTTAGGTGTGGTAGTTTTCAACATAGAGCCTCCTATCCTTTTTGCTCTGCTTTAAACAAATACTGTCATAAATGCAACAAACAAGGACACTTCGCACATATATGTAAATCAGGTATCTGTTCAGTAGATCATGTTAATCAGATGACAATCCTATCAGTAGATACAACATTTACACCTCGGAAACATCTCTGTGATATTTTAGTTGATAGTATTCTCATTAACTTCATTATCGACACAGGTTCACCGTTATCATTGTTGCATAAAGATATTTATGATAAATATTTTAGCAACAATAACATTACGATCATATAATAGTACTCCCTTAGATGTTGCTGGTGTGGTACAACTTCCTGTAGTGTTCCAAGACAGACAAGTATTTGCAGATTTCTTTGTCGTTTATGCTGGAGATAATCTTTTAGGACTTGACTTGACAACTGCATTACAAATGACTATTTGTGTAAAAACTTGGCCTGTGTATGGTGCTTCCTTAGGACCAACGGTAAAATCCGAATTTGTTATCAATCGCATAGAAAGTTTTGATAAACTGAAAGAAGAGTTTCCTAAAGTGTTCAATGGGATTGGAAAAGCTATTAATTTCAAACACAAATCTATTATTAAAGATGATGCAATACCTGTAACTCAAAAAAGTAGACTTATACCTTATGCACTGGAAAATGAGATGAAATCAGAAATTGATAATCTACTACAGAAGAAAATAATTGAAAAAGCTGATCATGCAAGAGTTGGTAAGCCCAGTTGTAATTCCGCGTCGTTAAAATAACAAAATCTGTCTTTGCGTTGATTTAAGATGTGTGAATAAAAACTTTCTCCCAGTTAAATATCCACTTTCAAATATTGAGACTTTAATCGGTTCAATAAAAAAGGCCAATTTTATTACTAAACTGGATATGAACTCTGCTTACCACCAAATACCCCTTGATGTCCCTACACAGGAAATCACTACATTCATTACTCCTTTTGGTTTATTTTGTTACTTAACAGGACCATTTGGATTATCAGATTTACCAGGCACATTCCAAAAAATGATGCGACATTATTTTGACTGGTTGTGATGGTGTATATAACCTACTTGACGACATTTTGATAGTAACTGACACTGGAGATAAACATGATGTTCGATTACGTGAAGTTATGTTACATAAGTCCGTCGAAATGCCACTTTAAAGTCAGTAAGGTGAATTGGCTTGGTTTTTGTATTTCGTCAGAGGGTGTAAATATGTTAAATAAAAATTTTGATGCTGTACAAGATATTTTGCCTCCGAAGAATGTTAAAGATGTTCAGAGCATACTAGGATTTTTCAACCATTACTCAAATGTTATTCCCAACTTTGCAAAGCTTACAGAACCAATTCGTAAATTACTTAAATTAGTTCGTAAAAATGTACCTTGGGACTGGTCAAAGGAACAAGAACATTCTTTTACTCAGTTGAAGTCACTCCTGACAACACCCCCAATACTCGCATTTTATATTCCTGATTTACCGACATATGTAACATGTGATGCATCAGATTATGCACTTGGTGCTGAATTATCACAACTTCAAGATTCAGGTGATATTCAACCTGTTGCTTTCGCGTCTAAAATTCTTACAGATTGTGAAAGAAAATACAGCATTGGCGAAAAAGAAGCTTTAGCTTGTACGTGGGCAGTAAAGAAAAGGGATCATTATTTGCGAGGACGTCAGTTTAAACTTGTCACTGATCACCGTTCATTAATAACATTGTTACAATCTACGGAAAACAATTCCGGACATAAGCCAGCAAAAATTGCTCACTGGGCAGCTTCGTTACTTGAGTATGATTTTGTCATGGAATATAAGAAGGGTACACACAATGTAATAGCTGATGGTTTATCAAGACTACTTAAAGTATCTCGCGAAAATGCTCGTGCCTCAGAAATTTTAATTGGTGAGATAAATTTGTGTAATTCCCTTACTATCGATTCTCTGAAATTAACACCTAGTGTTATTGCCAGTGAAACTGCAATAGACTCAGTTTTAAATACTGTTCTTGATTATTTATGTACGTCCTGGCCTGCTAAAAAAGATATTCGCGACGATGTGCTTCCATACTTCCGTCTCAAAGATGAATTATTTGTGTTCGGTAATGGCTGCATTGGTCGAGGTGAAAGAACAGTAATTCCAAAAAGTCTTCAATGAGATGTTCTTAATTTAGCTCATGATGGACACCGCGGAATAGTCAAAACTAAACAGAAATTACGTTCAGTTGCTTTTGGCTTGGTATGGATAAAGACATTGAAGATTTAATTTATAACTGTTATTTATGTGCATCTAGTGATAAATCATCAAAATTAACTACTAGTCCGTTAATCAAAGGAAACCTTCTGTTAGGCATGGTGTGATATAGCTATTGATATTCAGGGACTCTTTGAAAATGCTCCGCAAGGCGCTAGATATCTTATAAATGTTATAGATTATTATAGTAATTGGCCAAAGTCTTGTATGTCAGATTGTATAACTACTTCTTGTGTCATTAATTTCCTTGAATCATTATTTACCACATGGGGTATACAGGCTACAATAACTTCTGATAATGGACCTCAATTTGTTAGCTATGAATTTGTCAATTTCTTAGATAATTTGAGTATACATCATATCAGAACTCCTAATTATCATCCGGAGTCCAATGGAGCTATAGAAGGCTTAAATAGTATGATAGAGTTGTTATTACAAACTAATGTTCGATCTAAAATTAGTTGGACTTCTGCATTATGTAAAGTCTTGCAAACGATTAGATCTACTAAGCATAATACAACCAATGAAACCCCTTATTTTCTTATGACAGGAAGGGAAATGATGACAAAACTCAGTTTATTAAAACCTCCTGATAATTTTGAAAATGTTGTAAACATGGGTAATAATAATGCTTATAATGATACTGTAAGCAGAAATCAAAGTAAAATGAAAACATGGTATGATAATAAATACAGAGAAGTTAAACATAAGTTTAAGATTGGAGATATTGTAAGAATTAAGTATAAGAGAATTCATGGAAATAAGTTAAGTTCAAACTTTTCAATGCCTACAGAAATTGTTGAGATACAAGGAAATATTGTTACTGTGAAAAATGGAAAAAAAAATGGCATTCTAATGATGTTACTATGTAGAAGAGTTCAAATGAGATCTGTATAAGGATGCTGAAATAAATAATAGAAATCCTTACAAATTTCGATGTACAAAATAATAACAATGTTGTTAGTCCTTTACAAGACGTAAATCCAGTACAAGTACGTAGATATCCAATGAGAAATAGAGTAATTCCTAGATACTTATAAGAATATACATGGTGAATTTACTTAATACATGTAGGCGAAAATTTCTATGTAAAATGTTATTCATGTTTAAGAGATATTAGTTATTGATGTGAACTGCTGTTTTAGATAAGTATTTGTATACCGTATATAATGAGATATTATATTTCATTCCTAGTTTACATATTTTTCCAAGAGGGGGGAAATATGTGGTGTCTTAAGTTTTATTATTGCTGTACATTGTTTCTGTATTTATTATATTTATTACACAGTGAGATTGGACATGCGCAATAATAAAGAATCAGACATGTGGTTGAACATTCGAGAATATGATATGATGAGAGCCATGCACGAAGCTGTACTTACTAATACTACTTAACTTATATTGTCTTATATGCAATAAGTGTTTGAATAATAAACATGTAGAATTGAAGACAAGAATCATTTTATTATAATAAAGACGAAAAATACAATAAAACCTTGTAATGTAAAACGACTCAAAATTATTGCATGTTGGTTGTATGCTGGGATTCTTCAGCGAATTATCATAAGATGAAACCCTATGTGAATGCAGAGTTGCACATCAAGTTTATGTGGAGTTACCAATCCCTTTTGTAAATGCTGAAAGTCTTTTGCTTTTTATCATAAAGCTGCTGGTGCTTGTGTATTTATTGTCTGACAATGCTATGTTTCAAGTTTCCTGTAATTTTTTTGAATAGTCAGTAAAAGAGAATCTTATCAAAATTGAAAGACCTAGTACTCTTGGTGACATCATTAGCACATTATTTAATTATGAGTAACACTTAAACAGGTTCACCTGATCCAAGAAACGGTCATAATTATCTTTTGTTAAAACAGAGAAACAGATGGGACATTTTTTTTATGCCGTTTATACTGTACACACTAGCGCTTTCTTTTCTCCTGGTTACTATCAATTGATATGCTTCGATATATCATTCCAAATAATTTAACCATATAACAATGTCTTGTTTCATTATCTCATGTGTTTCTGTAATCAGTGTAATTAGCTATTTTGATTGATACTCATAATTATAATACAGAATTGATGAATTGGTAAAGGCACTAATGGACATTTACTGATCTTGATGAATTTTACTGTATAGCTCAACAGTTCCATTTTTGTAGTCAAAATTTTTATATGAAAAGTAATATTATGGTAATATATCTCTGTTAATGATTGTAATACAACAGAAAATAGTGTGTCTGCTGCTATTAATTAATGATAGAGATATATAGTTATTATGGTCAGTAATGATGATGCCTCGATTAATGTATATTTACAATAAATGATTTATAGGTAATAAGAAACTTTTAGAATTTTTTACCTTTCACATCATTGCTTTTAAAACTTGCGAACTTATTCCATGACAAAGTTCTCTTTGAATATTTTAAAGGTTGGTTGTATAAGGCTAAGCCGTGTTGAAATTCGCAATTTATTTTTGACGCTCTAGAGACTAAATTTATTATTGACCCTTTTTGAATTTTAAATAATATGTTTAGAATCAGATTAGTAAAAGGACGATGATTATTTGTTTTCAACATTTAACATTTCAAGCAAAACCTCTCAGAATTGTGTTACTTGATTACAAAAGTAGGATGTTAAATCCTGATTCAATTAATTTCCAGTATTAATCATGATTATTCATTATTTTCAGTATTAATCATGATTGCTCATTATTTTCAGTATTATTCACAATTGTTCAGGGGTTTTTTTTGGGGGGGGGGGGGCAGTATTAATCATGTTTGTTTGTTATTTTCAGTACTAATTATGGTTGTTCCTTATTTTCAGTATTAACATGATTTGTTTTGTTATTTTCAGTATTAATCATGATATGTTAAGTGGTAAACAAGGTCTTATTGAATTCTCTAAAGGTTCAACATATAATATTAAAAAAGGAAAAAATGGACAACTTTGTGTGGTAAGTATGAGAATATCTTGATACAAATAAGGTAACATATAGAGCTAAGAAATTAAGTAATGGTGACACATTATTAAAAATGCTGTCCCGGATGTATTTAGTGAATAACCTTAAAGGACAATATTGGTGTCATTCATTATCACATATTTGATAGAACTGGTTACAGCTACTTCCCAGAAAAGTGTTTATCGGGTGGTTATTTCCAATAAAAGTATGGCAATTTTTGTATATATGGAAAGTAGAAACATCCAATCTTAATAGCAAAATACTGGATTTCCCTGAAAAACACTCATGGAGCGCATGAAGGACAAAAATGTAATGAGCGATAACAGACCAAGAGTTGTTATACGAGACTGTGAAAGGATATCTGACAGCTAAAAAAAATAATTGACTGTCACTAGATAGGAGAAAAATAGAAAAGGCCTGTACATTCTCTTGTTTTTATTGTCCCCCGCCTTTTGAAGAAAGCAGGGGACTATTAAAAATGGGTTCGCGTGTCTGTCTGTCTGTCCGTCACACTTTTGGGGACACAATAACTCTCTTTCTAATTGAGCTAGAATGTTCAAACTTGGTGTAGGTGTTTATTAGGTCAATGCCTTGATGGAGTTCGAAGATGAGCATTTTCTGCCTATGGTAGGCAGAGATAAGCAATTTGCGATAAGCAATTTGATTGGTTGATGCTTTGGAACACGATAACTTGAGTTGTGATTAAGTGTGAGTGATGAAACTTGGTGTAAAGTTTCATTACATCAATACCTTGACTAAGTTTGATAATGAGCATTTTCTGCTCAGGTTAAGCAGAACGATAAGCAATTTGATCGGCCAAGACTTTGGAAAACAACTCTCCTTCTAATTGAGGTAGAATGTTCATACTTGGTGTAGGTGTTTATTAAGTCAATACCTTGATAGAGTTCGATGATAAACATTGTCTGATTACGTTAAGCAGAGATAAGCAATCTGATTGGTTGATGCTTTGGGGCACGATAACTATGGTCTTAATTAAGTGAGAGTGATGAAACTCTGAGTATAGATTCATTATATCATTACCTTGACTAAGTTTGATGATGAGAACTTTCTGCTTAGTCTAAGGATCGATAAGCAATTTGATTGGTCAAGACTTTGGAAAATAACAACTCTGCTTTTAATTGAGATAGAATGTTTAAACTTGATGTAGATGTTCATTAGGTGATTGTCTTGACTGAGTTCAATGATTAACATTTCGAGCTAAAGCTAAGCAGAGCTAAGCAATTTCATTGGTCGATGCTTTGGGACAAGATAACTTTGATTCTATCTGATAGAGAGTAATGAAACTTAGTGTATAGGTGATAACTTGTTTGATTGCTTGATACTTTTGAAAAAAATAAATGTGCGATTAATGAATATGTGTCATCTATTTTTGGGGGGATTTCGGCAGGGGACATCAGCCTCACTCTTGGCTTGTTCACTCAATACTTAATGAAAACATTGTAATGCACAATCTTTTTCTAAAAAAGATTTCATTTTTATCTAGTGACAGTCAATTCTTTTTATGAATTGTCAGATTTCCTCTCAGAGTCTCATATAACAACTTTTGGTCTTCAAAGGAATTATCAGTGAGCAGAAATTTGTCTGTGTATCTTTTATATAGAAGGATAAATCTTGTTTTCCATTTTTTCTGCGTCACTTCCGTTTCTTCAAATCTGTATTACATATCTGTCGTTATATTTGTAAAGTGTTTAACCAGTTCTATCTCCTCTAAAGACACCTCTGCACAAGCGAGTAAATATATTATAAATATAACTCTGTGTTTATATTTTCAGGTGGCCCCCCCATTGTCGTAACAGGAAGAAAAACAATTCGCACAAAAATTTGCATTCCGTATCTCAAATATTATAGTGATGACCAAGATTTGATGCTTAAATATCTAAACTGCTTCCACAACAACTGGAGTGACAGGTCAACATACATGTACATCCCAGTTTAACATGATACTACAAAAACGTATATGGTGATCAATTTTTATCATCATTTATTTTGTTATTTAGTAAAACAGTAATTTACTCGAACTATAGTAATTTTTCATCAGTGTTGATTGTTTGTCAAGTAAATGGAAAATGAAAAAAACAAATTTCTACAGTGATTTGTCAGAGAATTTGTACAAAATACTAGATAAAATTCATGTTGTAGTTAAAACATCTACCATTTAAAATAAAGTAGAAAACCTTTGTTTACTGAAAGGTAAATCTTTTTTTTACTAAAATAGTAAAAGGTCTTTTTATTACTAAAATAATAAAAGGTCTTTTTGTTACTAAAATAATAAAAGGTCGTTTTGTTACTAAAATAATAAAAGGTCGTTTTGTTACTAAAATGATAAAGGGTCTTTTTGCTACTAAAATAATAAAAGGTCTTTAATAAGTAAAAGTATTCTTTTACTAAAAGGAAATTTCTCTATATATACATCTATATTGTTTTATATCATTATTTTTTTGCATATTTAGAGTCAAATTTACATTGATTGAAGAATTGGTTATACTTTATCAAATTGTGTTCATATTGTTTAATATTTAGAGAGAATTTATGTAACTTGCATAGTGCTGTGAAATGATATAATTTTGTCCTTATTTAGTATACATTATATGATTCATGATGAGAGGGAGAACTGTTAAGTGAAGGTGGAAACTTGTTTATAAATTTATTTTACCCTTAATATACAACAAAGGTCAAGGACGTTTTATTGTTAATTAAACATTAAAAGTGGAAATACAAATGAAAGATTGTATTTTGATTAAATTTGCAATACACCAGAGATTGCCTTACATAGATCCCAGTTGATCTTTCATTCTTTGTTGATTAAAAAAGCTATATTTTCGGGAAGTGACTTAATATATACAATATTTCAAAACAAAAAACAATTGGTTATCTTATTTGGAACATTTAGTTTTTTTATTATTGTGTAATTTCTAACTAGACAAATATACATGTTATCTGTTTAAATCATCTTGGTATCATTAATTCCTGATAAAGATGGCCAAGGACAGTACCATAGTTATTGATTCTTGTCGTTCAGCATTTTATTGCCATTATTACATGAATATTCCCTTTTAAAGACGCTTATAAGTTATAGAACCATAATATCTGTAAGCTTATATTGTTGTTATATAACAAATCATACTTATTATTACCAAGAAAACATTTTGGGGGTTTTCCCTGATGCTTGATATATGTTATCAAAACTCATCCTCTAAACCTACATGCTTTTTTTTTTTACAAAGTTTATAATATATTTCATTTTGTCAAAGAGATTTTGTAGAACTTTTTCCTATTTACTAAAGTGCTTTATTGATATAAAACTGATGCATTTGATAAGCTGTGATAATCTTTTTCATTTACTTGCTATCTAACTTTCCTACGAATATCATAAATGATTTTTAAAAATATTGATATGTATTCTTTTTCAAAATATTTTATATTTATAGCCTTTAATATTAATACTGGGATATTTAAATTAGATCTAATACTATTTTATAAGTAGATTGGTAATTGACTTTGCCACATTGTGTCCAGGCAACCCTTTGCAGTTACTAGGAATATCATTTAATCTTGTATTATATTTCACATTACATCATTATCAAAACTAAAAATAGTATCCTGTCTATGGTGACATTAATCTCAACCGATATATATTTTAAAAGGTAATTCCTGACCCAATATGAGTTCTCAGCCTGGTCAGATTGAGCAGTCTAGCTACAACATGTTAATTTAGCCCTAAGATAGTTCAAGTCCATTATTTCTTGAAAAACATCATAACCCTTATATGCATATAATAGAATACTATTTAAAAAGAAATATATGTGTTGTGTTGTGGCGTCCTTATAGTTTAAAATAATAGATTTCTTGGTAATGAATTCAAGGAGGGACCCCAGGTAATATTCACTACCGTGCTATGAGGGATATTTTTGCCTGGACAGTGTCATTTCCTCCTACTCTTGATCAGATACCAACTTCAAGGGTTCTTTTATGTGCATGCCAACATGTACGTTGGACCTTGATTGTTTTTGTCACATCCGAACAACTAAACGCTGTTCCTCGCCAGATCCTCCTCCCTGTATAACCAGCAAGAAGTGAGCACAAAGGAAAATCCCAAGAACTTTGTTGGCCAACACTGAGATGGAACCCAGGCCCACTTGCTAAGTCAGCCAGTGCCTTACTCACTGAGCTACTGTGGCTCCAAAACAGAATATCATTGCATGATTAATATATGCGAATAATATATTTATATAGGTATCAGCTTTACAATTTAATTATTATATGGAAAATATACATTAAAATATTAATGGTCCTTCTTAGAGTTTTCAATACTGGGAATACTAGTTGTTCACTTGGGCATGTAGGAACCATGTCAAAATTCAGTATATTTGGATGTTTTAAATTTCCAATCTACATTACTACTAACAATTATGGTTTAAAGCTTTCTTATGAAATCTCATCGACATTTTTCATTTCTACTTGAACTCTAGTGCCCACAATTTTGTTTTAAAAATAACTACAATATATTTGTAAAAATATTCAACTTTTGTAGTCTACAAGGTTTCTATCTATATTGTATTAAATTGATTTATACAGAAAGAGAAGGGATTGATTTGGATGTATTTTATGTTGATGTTATGTCAGATATATAATTTTGTTGTAATTCAAAGACCATTTATTTAGCTTACTATATATGTACAAACAATAAATAAAGGAGAACATTAAGATATCATTGTAGTTGTTGTGGTGAATGGTCATATTATGAAACTCTTCCAGGCAGTTGTCATGCAAGCAACATTATCAAAATTGTTCACAGCAAAATTGTCCTTTTGGATAAGTTGTCTAAAGCTGTTGTTTTCCAGACAAAGTTGCTGTGTTGGCATATTTCAGGGCTTTGTATGGCTATCTTTATGCCTTCAAAAAATCTGATCCCTACTGTGTTGGGGGTATGTGTGGCCGTATGGGTTAACGCATGTGATTTAGATCATTAGGTCTGTAATTGAGTCATGTCGCTTGGTGCCAATTCCCCGCTGTTATGTGACACTTCCCACTAGATCAGAAATGGATTCTTCTGTCCAGGGTTCATCATCAGTCACGTGTAATGTACATTACCATTTGGGGTGGATCAATTGGAACAAGTTTTGTGCAGTCAGTAAAGGGATGCGCCATCCACCTTGTCATTCGCCGTGGACCGTCAGGTGTAGGTACATCGGTGCACCCAGAAACCCTTACACCGCCCCCCCTTCCCCAACATTTTTGGGCTAGCTACGGGCCTGCCCCAGGTTTATTAACTTCATTATTTCGTGGTATGGAATCCAGTCCAGTCCATTGTTTTGATTTATAATAATTATATATTTACCTGTTTTATGTAACTCTCTGTACTTTGCATGGGGCTTAAATAATGCATAGTTTGATAATAGGGTTTTTGGAACATCGATGGTCTTCCAACAAATGATATAGCCAGTAGAGGTAGAATAGAACATTTTGTAAATAATTTAGATCTTGTTTGTTTTATGGAGGATTAGGTTAACCAAGAGCAAGTAGATTTAGATTGTTATAAATATTCTTTATCAGATTATACAGGTTTCTGTGTGCAAGAAATAGTAGCAACTCTGATCATCTGTTACTTAGTTTGGTGTAAAATAAGCAAATCCATCTTCAGTATTGAGAACGACGTATTGAAATAGTTTAATTATTACCTTCAAAAATATTTGACATCGCAGCTCTTTAAACAATATTATAGATGGTAGCTTCAATGCTCGAAATGGAACATTGGGTGATATATTTTATGCTGAAGATCCTCTGGATCGGGACAAGCAATTACCTTATTTTACTTTTCAGATTTCATGTATCGATACTATTCCGAAAAACGTAACAAGTGATTAAAATATTTTCAGAAACGAGGTAAATAATAATTTGTGCTAACACGAACATGTGTATTTTAAAGGGGTATTATGTACGAAAGCCCAGAAGGCTAATTCCAAAATTCAAAATGCCAAATTTCAAATTTCAAATTTCAAAATTCATGTCTTACCAATAAAATACCAAATTGGCAGCCCCCCCCCCCCAATTAAACAAATTAGAATTTAAGTAAATTGTAATTTAACACAACCAACCTAATTAGTGCTAGTTTACCTATCTGATGCCTGGGCCGGATAAACACCCGTTCCAAATTACTAGATTCGAAATTCCAAATCTAGTAATTTGGAACGTGTATTTATCCGGCCCAGGCATCAGATATCTAGCACTAATTAGTTGTGTAAAATTACAATTTGGAATGAGCCTTCTGGGCTTTCGTAATTATGGAAGATTAGATAAAGGGGTGGCACTCTGAACCTAGATATTAGCGATTGAATTTTAAATGGGCATTATGGAAGATTAGATAAAGGGCTGACACCTCATTATAATAGTTAAAAACTAGATAACGTAATGGGAATATGCTAAAAATTTCAGTCAAATTGTTCCACTCTGAACCGAGATATTAGCAATTGAATTTTAGGCCTAGCCTCGATCATCATTATTTAAGTCGGTACGATAAAACACATAGTCTCGATTATCTATTTTTGCATTTAATCATCAATAAGCGTTTTAATCATCAATAAGCGTTGAGCAGCAGATCGGATTCATGTCCACGAAAATCGAACACATGAGATCGCATCGAGAGTTGATTACGGTCTTTTCATGACAATAGTTTATATAATATTTCAGGCCTAAAAAAAGACCCACAATAGGTAGATTTGGCTCTTGCATAATGTATGTTTAAATGACCAGACTTTATAATTAAGTGATACATGTTATCATTATAACGGTTGTAGTATCATAGTTTAACATTCCATATTTAAGGAAATTGCTTTATTTAATATAGGACTACTTCCAATTAATGAATTTTCTGATCAATGTCTACTGTGAGTTTAGTCGTTATAATAAATATTCTGCCACATGACCGTTTATGTAAACAATGTAATAATAATGAAATAGAAGACGAATACCATTTCATATTTGATTGTAATTATGATAGATATATTGCCATCTTAGAAATTGAAAATTTACACTAATTATGAAAAGAAATCCGCGAACGACTATCTTGAAATTACAATAGTCAGCCGAACCTCATAACTTGGGAATCACGGTGGCTAAGACGCTGGCTCGCTAGCCCGGAGGTCGGGTGTTCGATCCCTGCATTGGCCGAGAAAGTTCATCCAGATTTTCCGGCGTGGTTCTCCCTTGTCAGTGATGCAGGACGGAGTGGCTGACAAAGAAAGCTGTCTAGTCGTTTGGATGGGACGAAAATCCGAGGTCCCGTGTACACATTGGCGTGCGCGTAAAAGATCCCTTGACAGTTGGAATTCGATAAAAGAGTAGGCCGTAGTGCCGCTGTCCGGGCAAAATTTCCCTCATAGCACACTGTATGGCATATGCCCGTCTTCATTAGCCCAGTTCGGAGCAAAACAGTAGGACGTTAAACCCCATTTCATTTTTTTTTTCATTTAATTGACCCTATATGGTCTTCCGTATAATATATTTACTTATGTCTTTAGTTAACTATCAAGGTAGATAATGTTTGGTAATCAAACAAAATACTGATATTTTGGCGGTATTTAATTAGCACGGATCCTTTAATAGCAATTTAAGTCATTTACAAATTGTGCCGATCACAATATGAAAATGTTCCCAGCTTGTGTAAAACCGTGTAGGCTATAATGTATGTTGACATGTGAAAATGGGATTATATAATTGAACGTCAACTGCGGCTATTTCTCGTGTATACCTTTATTATATCTTCAAAAGACAAAAAAAATCAATAAGGATTGTCCTAGATGTACGCTTAAACGATTTGTTAATGCAGTCTAATACGACGCGCTAATTACTGTATCTTTTTAATTAGTTAGTTTACGAAAGTAATAACTTTACCTTTTACCTTTGTTAGTTAAAACATGCACTGCTAAGGCCAGCGTTATTTTTTCATATTACATATACAGATTAGAGACCATAATTATTGTCCCCGTCCAACCAAATGTAATGAGCTTTTGTACGTGATTCATTACTAGGCATTAGAAATAGGCATACCGACAGGACTGTGTGAAAGTAAAGTTTACAATGATGGACACAAATGGGACACATTTCAGTGATATTCTCGAAACAGAGGAATTGGAGCCATGGATGTATTTTATAATAGGAGTTTACCTTTTACTTACAGGTATGTTTTCTTTTATTCAACTTAGGGGTGAAATATACAAGTAACCACGCGTCTGTTAAATTTTTGAAGGGCAGCCAGATATCATAGACACATAAATAAACAATATGAATAGTTAAGACAATTACTCTCACCAACAAAAGGGAATTGATATATTCAGAAAATTTCCATATTTAATTATTTGTACTGATATAATAGAAATTTAAAATATTTCATCATTTGCAATTTAGAACAAATATTAAATAAAATAATATATACAGATCTCACAATTCAGACATTTCTAGGGTAAGTGTCAAACCTAACCAAATATAAATCGGAAAATTTCGGAATTTATAATGGCCTCCAAGAAAAAAAATGGGAATAGTTTTACATGATAGTAGTATTCAAAATAAACTTTCAATAGTCTAATTATGGAGAGAAAAAACAAGTCAGTAAAGGATTTTGAAAAGCTCAGCTACAGGCTTGTCTCCAGTTTAACCATAGAACTAGAATTCTAATTTTATTGTTTAACATACAACCAACATATTTGGGGTGTGTGTGTGTGGGGGGGGGGGGGTATCAACGGGCTTGGCTTATCAAAGCGCCAATGCCTCTTGAATTCTTATTCAAGATCTATTAAAATGGACTTTGCGAATAAATATAAAGTATATTCCATGTTTGTAAGATAATTTCTTATATGAATTCATTGGGTGGAAATCATCTTACTATATACATGTATTAGGCAGACCAAGCTCAGTAAAGCCGGGGAACAAAATAATTTGATTTTGTGAGCTCCGTGCATATTCTATAATTTTCTCTCGTCTCACGACTCAGTAACTTTGACTAGGACATTCCCTGGACAGACTGTCTCAGTTTTAGGCTATTATATTTTAATAGGAAATTTTGAACAAGGGGAGGGGCACACTGATCCGCAGTGAATATTCGCTTGGCCGCTACAATTCGTCTTAGGTCTGTAAAACAGATTGGGGGAGGGGGTGTAAACGATGCAAAACCATATGGACCTTTTTCTAGGAATAGCAGGAGAGATATGGGGTTTAATGTCCACTCGACACAAACTAGGTCATTTTGGGACTATTTCTAGGAATTAACCCACGGCTAGTGAACTGAAAGGTGTTAAATTCTTATTTTCGACATTTTCGAAAAAGAAATATAAAAAAAGAACCTTGGGCGGACCCGGCCAAATCAATTCATTCTAGCTCTTTGAATCTTGATTTATACGAATATACTTTTTACGTTTTTATCTTCATTGTGCCTTTTCAGATTTTATAACATTTTATATAATACTAGCAGGATACTCGGCTTCTCCCAGGTTGACCCGGAGCCCGAGATCTATGACCTTGACCGTCATAAATCAGTGTCTAAAACAAGTAAATTGGCACAATCTCTGGGATCTTTTCTTGTGATTTTTCATAGCGAAGTGGATGAAAAAAATCAGTTTGTTGCCTCTTACGTGTAAACAGTTTGCGAGATTCTTATTTCCGTTTCGTATGTTTGCGCAATATTGTCCGTTTTGATTTCTACCGATATGTGGAAACTAT